ATTATGTAAAGGTACAATTCCCAATGAGAAATGTAATTGTGTTGTATACCTACAATGTGCCAATAAAAGAATTTAATACAAAAAAAAAAGAAAATAAGATAATGTGTAGCATCATCCATATATTCTACGACAAAATTCATTTTTGGTGGATGTGCCTCATAGACTAAAGTTTTAGGAAGTAGTCTGATGTAATGCTGACTTTGGATCATTAGCATCATTATGCCAGGGATAATTATAAGTATGCAAGCGGCTGTTTGCTTGCTGGACCAGTAAACATATTTACATTTACTTTGTCCTTCATACCAGATGGCATATGTGTTTACTATTGAGTTTCTTGGCTTGGACTAAAGGTTGCATGTTCCAAAACTACAGGGTAAGCTTGTCAGGTAAAGTGCAGGGCATATAGTTAAGTTTCAATTTCAGATGAACATAAATTTTTTTAGACTATCATCGTGTCCCATGCTATTTTGGCCCCAAAGCCAGTAATTGTTGTTTATCTAAAATTCCATTTTAACTATTTACATTCAGTAAATAGTTTGCATTCAGTAAATCTGGCAACTCTACTACAGGGGTCACCCAGTAAAAAAGGGACATCAGAGTGTCAGGACTGGGAGCACTAGACTTATGATGGCCTCTTCCACTGTGATCATTCTGAGAGGTACTTGCTAGTCACCTCCAGCCAAATGTTACTTTGTGATACTGTGATACTGTAAGAAGAGAAACATCTAAATAAGCAACCAAACCAAAAAAATAAGTTCACAAACCAATACCATGAAAGTTGTAAAAAATGTCTATGGGCTGAATGAAGCCCATGGCTCTCAGCTTATGACCTTTTCCCTGTGGCGTAACAAACAAACAAACAAACAAACAAATCAAACCAAACCAAAACCCCACCAAATTCTCTACTGCGTGCATGCTGTAAACTATGAAACCATCTAACCAAGTTTGCTGGGGTGTGCATAATGTGTTTCGATTGTGGAGTAAATTGTACTACACAAAGTGTAAAACAGTGCAAGGTTTTGGTGATGATTGTGCAGTTCCTCAGTCATTCTTTGTGTATGCACGCAGGGGTGCTGGCTGGTTGATTATCTCCTTTCTATATCTCAGCTATGTTCTAAGAGCTGAGGTCAGCTTAAAAGTCAAATGTCAATTCTTTTATTCAACTGATGAAAGTTAAAGGTGAATAAGAAAGACAATCATGCTTTTGAAGGATCCTCTAATTCAGGCAGAATAAAACACAAATAAGCCATCACAAAACAACACAGCCAGTATGAGAACAGAGCTATATACATGAGACTTTACTATCAGGTAAGAGAATGGCCAATAAATGTATTTAAGATTATTCCTTTCAAACTTGTTAGTATATTGCAGAAAAATATTAAATGCCAGTTACCTTCACTAACATCACTTTTTGTAGTTTCCTCCATTTTTGGGAACGACTGAAATAAAGATAGAATTACTCAATGATGATTACATTGCATACAAATTCACTTTGTTTAGAAGTAGTCTTTATGTGCTCAAATTGATCTTTTATGGAAATTACTACAAAATGAATTAGCTTTTTAATAATATAAAATTTATTTGATTTTTAGTTATTCCTCTTACCTAAAAATTTTCTAAAACTGGAAATCATTTTAAGTTACAGAAATTTCTTTTTCTTAATATTTCCAACTCCCACAGTAATTCATTTAACATTTCAGTGAACATGAATTTCTTTGAATGACAATAAATCTTTTATTTGAGGCACTTCAGAATTATTGATAATCAAAGGAAGAGCCTTTAAAATGTATTTGGAAAATTCAACATATAAAGGATTGATTTACACAGAAACAAGAGATTATAAGAAAATGCTTCACAGATGTGGCAGAAGCATCATGTGGCTATTCCCTATATTATTTTGCCTAGAAGCATCTACTATTGAAACAATGGTAACAGCACTGGTCTCGTCTATAAAACCATTTTCTCACCATAACTAGCTTGAGAAGATCTGCAGCATTGCCTCTCTCCTCTTCAGTTCTGGAATCCTTGACTGTCATTTCTTGTAGCTCCTCTTCTTTCTTTAGAATGTGGTTAATATACTCCTAGACAAGTAGGATAAAATACATAGATAAAAATATCAGATTTAGGCTGGGTGTGGTGGTGTATGCCTGTAATCCCAGCACTGGAGAGGCTGAGGCAAGAGGACTGCCTTGAGCTCTAGGCCAGCCTAGGCTCCATAGTGAGTTCAAGGCCAGCTTGAACTGCACAGTGAGTCTTTGTCTCAAAAAACAAAAAACAAAAAGATAAAATGAGGTTTAAGGTACATATACATAGACACCTAAATAGTCAACATCAACTTGAAATGTTACAAAAAGATGAAGAGTAAAGACGTTCACACAACTCAACAATCAATTCCTAGCCAAACAATCTGAAAAGCAAAAGTTAATAAGCAAAGACTTGAAAAGGCCACAAGCAAAGCCTTGGGGCCACAGGATAAAACTGCATGGGGACTCTACAGAAGCCCTGTTTCTAGTCTGTGCTTTTGTATCCTCCTCAATAAAACTGATTAGGTAATGTCTAGACCTTTCAGATATAGTCTTATGATTCTATCTATGAATGTACTTAGTCTATGCCTTTGCTTCCAAGAGAAATATACTTTGCTTTTGCTATGACTATTTAATCCATTTCCATTATGTATTGATCTCCAGCTCTATGCTAAGTACTGATTATATAACCATAAACAAAACACATGTAATTTTTGTTCTGAAGGACTTGAACTGCAAAGTGAGGGGTTATTGATATAATCATTCAACTATACATTTACAAGTTATAAGATCACTTCCAAAGTATTCATGAGCAAGTACCAAATGAATAAGTGATTTTATTTTTTCCCCCCAGTGTTCACTGTACTAGTTTTCCATATAGTAAGAAAGGAGGTGTCTGTATGGCAATCACAAATCACAGTTGTCGCAATGTGTGACCATGGCTGCATAGAGGATGTGAAAGACTACTCGGAGAGGCGATTTAATTCACTCCAAGAAGCCCAGAGAGGTTGCTTATGAGAGAGCTTCAGAGAAACAGCAGCAGCCTAAGACCTGTGTAGTTGTTTAACTTTTTTTTTTTTTTTGGTACGGGGGATTGAGCTCGGGTCCTTGAGCTTCCAAGTCAGGTGGCAGAACCACTGAGCTAAAGCCCCGGCCCCCTATGTAGTTGTTTATTTGTAACTCAAGGACATGAAACAAAACATAGAAGAAAAGTATTTGCAACAAATTGTATAAGAGTTTTTGTCAGGGGACAGGGCCAGTACGGGATGGTTTGTTACATGGTACATGTTGACCTAGTTTAGGCAGTCTTATCAGTGCAGAGGGGACACAATGGCCAAAGCAAGCATCTCTGAAAATAACTTGCTTTTAATTCTGCTGACTGTTGTCCTACAGATTTTGCTTTAAATTCTAGCCTTGCATTCCAAGAGCCTAAGTGCTAAGCAAAGTGGTACATGGTAATGCAACAATAGGCTAGCTTATGACAAATGTATGTGACTATTCCTTAACATGGTTATGTAGTCTAAGACATTTGGAGATAACCACTCTAACTTTCTGAGGACTGTTGTTCCCAAGGTTCTTTCCTTAGTGCACTCAATCACTCCTTTGGCCATCATCTCCCCACACATAGCGTATTACTTTGTCTATGTTGGGGGCTTCTTAAATGCTTTTTACATCTTGTGGGAATCATTAAGTATTTTTAGCCTCTCAACCTTCTAGTCTGGAAGATTGACACTCATGTGTTACATTGGATAAATACTGGTGGAATTAGATAATTTTAGGTTCTAAAGGAACTTTAGAAAGAAAAACCAAGAAGGAAACCAAGAAGAATGATTGCCTTGTTCCTGATATTTTGGGGTCAGATTATCTAGATTTCATTACCTTAAGTGAAACCTGCAGCCTCAGTTTCACCTCGTTCTTTATGACCTCATGCTGGATGAACTGGCGCATCTGCAGCACCTTAGGGTCTTTAAGTATAGGAGCTGGGGCACTCATTAGCTGTTTACATCCAATGGAAAGGCCCTTCCAAATCTGAGTGCCAAATGGAGGCCCTGGAGTTTTTCTCTGACAAAACAAAGCAAGACATTCACCAAAGAAATCAGAATGTTTTTACCACAGATTTTTAAAATTGAGTATTTATGTAGATACTATACTGAGAATCACTTGTAAGGAATGCAACTGTATTCAAAAAAATCTTGACCTCAAAAAGTTCTGCAAATATAAGGAAAATTGATACTAGAACTGGCCGAGAGTTCCTCTTTGCGTATATTTCCAAGAAACTGCATATTTCAAAATCTTGTTTCATGGCGTCCTTCTCAGTAGCATTTAAGGTAGTCCTAAGCAAGGGGGTAGATGATAATGCAGCAATAGGCTAGTTTATGACAAATGTATGTGATATTCCTTAACACCAATATGTAGACTAAGACATTAGGGGTTAATCAGTCTATGTGTTTATTTTGTGCTAGAAATGTTCTTTGAGAGAGAAAGATTCCATAGATAAATAATTTGTACTTTGAAAGTTTATTGATAGAACATCATTGTCACTGGTTTTCAAGAGTGGTGTGCTTTGCAGAAGTCTGCCTGCTGTGCTTCTTTGAAAAGGCCTGGCCAGAGATAACCACTTGGAGGTTGGAAGCTCATCACATAAAAATTTCAGAGGAAAAGGAAGAGAATAAACTTCCTTCATTAATCCCAGATATAATGCAATTTTTATTACCACATAGTACTTTCAAGTTGGACACAGCCTTAGTTAGCCTTCTGGTGTGACCTTTTCATTTTCAAAAAAGAAAACTCAGGTTCATTATGAGTTGTCCCAAATCCTACATTATGAAGTTATAGAATCAGGACATAAATTTAAAATAACTTTCATCTCACCATGTAGATTCAAGTTGCCAAATTAAAACAAAGGGGTGGAACATCTTTCTTGTCTTAAGTGCTCATCATCTGTGCTTTTACTATTATAAGATTTATTGTAGGGCAGCAAAAACATAATTTAAAAACATTCTTCTTACTTAATACTAGGTATGCCTTCCTGATCATATTCTCAATGTCTTCATTGATTTAATAATTTAATTATTACAATATGCTAGAGACATTACATAAATTGCTTATTAAATAAAATGGCAAATCTTGCAAGATGCAGGACTTCATGATTACTGCCCAAGATGTTTTCTTTCATTCTTTAAAAACTTTAGGTGGGACTTGTCTCACCTGACATAATCACAATACTTACTAATGTTGCAGTTGCAAAACCGACATGTAATCATTTATACTATTCTTATATGATCAGTTTGTGCATTTTTAATATGTGAAGGGAAAAATGGTAAAGTGAGACCTAAAATGCTACGTTAAAACTAGTAAGATATGACAGAAGGAAATGACATAACATCAGTAATTCTATGATAGGAGAGGTGTAACATGCATTATTCACGAAGTATATTTGAATATCACAGGAAGATGTCACAACTGCAATATAGATAAAAGAACTAAAATTTAAATTAGCTAGCCAGGTATATTCCTCTAAAATTCTAGTTGCCATACATATAAATGTTAAAAAGCTTCAAGTATAAAACTCCTTGAGGCTATTAACAATTTACATAAGGTTGAGATATAAGTATATGGGTGAAGGCCAGAGACTTCAGGTCATTAATGGATGAATATACAAATAATGCAATTTTGTAGTGGAAAATGTATACCTCAATTGAGGGAAATGTCTCCCACGATCTTGACTGGAGATTAGGAGGAACAATCGTCTCTAACTCCTTCTTCATTAGCCATGCCGATGCTTTATGTAAAGGACGAAGGATTGTGATGCTCAGGGCTCCTGATTCAAAAGAGTTTTCTCTTCTAAAATTATTCTGATAAATTCAACATGCATTAACTAAATTCATCAAATACTTTTGAACTGTCTTCTACATGAAAGATTAGTGAGACCCAGAGATTATGCTTAGGACTGTGTAATCTAAGAAGAAGGTGAGGCTGTTTGTCATTGTAACACCTAGAAACTGGATTTTGGTCATCTAGAAGTGATCAAGATTCATTGACACCTCACTGTCCCTCAATAACCACATCCAAGGCCTGTCAGTTCTGTCAATAAACTTTCATGGAACTCTCCACCTCTGCTCTCACCAGAGATTCTACATTACACCATTGCCTCAGAAAGATACTGCTATGGGCTATAGCAATAGCTAGCTTTTCTACTCATATGTGCTCTGTGAATGAACCTTCCCATGCAGTCAGGCTGACTGGTTATGTCCATCCATGATTCAAATTCTTCTTTGACTTCCCATTGCTCCAAAAACAAACTGGAATATTATTTTTTTCTCCCTGCCTCAACTTTCACCATTCTCCCCCTCTGTGCCTTTAGCTATGTGGCATTTTTCTCCTCTTCATGATTTTTATCCTTTGTGTTCTTGTTTTCCAAGAAAAATCCTTCCTCCTACCTGAATCAACTATACTTATCTAGTACCACATGGCTCAGAAGTCTTCAAGGAAGTTTTCAAGACTACCTCCGGTGTCTCTGCTGGATGCTCTCATAGAACAATGTTTCTTTCCTTCATAAACCCTAGTCCAATTTATAATTACCCAGCTATTTGTGTGACTGTATATTTAATGCTTCCCTCTCTCACTGGACCAGAAGCTTCATGGAAACTGGTTCGTGCCTGTTTTGGCTCACCACGGTGTTCCTAACGCCCAGCCAGTGCTTGGCATATGTAGATTTGCCAAGTGATGCTACTTAAATGGCCAACACAGCAATTTGAGATAATTTCTTATTCTCATACATTTACATGCATGCATTTCATACACAGAGCCCTTTACTCTCCATAATTACAAAGAGCAAGATATATTGCATAGTGTACATGTGCATGGATACACTAAAAGACAAAAATACACAGAGGTGTAGTCATATGCATAAATGCACACAAAATATATCCCACTAAACAAAAGATAAAGAGAAAATTAGACCTAGGCACAGCAATCAAAGTAATACATGTTTATTTGATCTCTGGTCACACATAAATTTCTTTGAAATTGATGAATGTAATGTCAATTCCCAATGAATATATCTTATATGGCTCAGAGTAAGAGTTTAACTCACACATAAAATGTATTTTCTTATTGTATTAAATTTCATCAAGGCAACAGCTTTAAATGAAAAAAACAACTTAACAGGATGAAATGAACTCATAAATAAGAGCCTAGAAGGAGGTGGGAGGAAAAAGGGAGTAAAAGTGCTCTAGATGCAATATATATATTCACTGAGATGATTACAATTACCGCATATCGTAAACATACATTAAAAGAAACCACATAAGTATGTGAGGGCACAGATAGAAACAGTCTGGATCCCTGAAGGTAGGGAGGAGGCCTAGCTTTACGAACAGATCTGCTGTAGGGGAGGAATTCATACTCAGTTTACACAGGTTGATGCCCAGAAAGAACATGACATGAACATACAATCAAGTAGCTACGTAAGCAGATTGGCATGGCCAACTGGAAAGTGGAAGAGTGAGCAAGGGGAAACAATAGCCAAGGGAATGGACTGGATAGTAAGAGGGATGAGCCGGTGAAGGGACAGAGAGAGCTGCACCTGGCTGCTCCGGCACGGGCTCCTGGAGAACCATGGTCGTCGATTCTCCGCAGGCCAAGGATAAGTGTTCTTCAATGTCACTGTCCCGGAGGAGTTCCACTCCTGATCCATCAGCATAGATAACAAAAAATCTGACAAAACAAACATCTAATCATTTGAACTATTCAGTCGAAAACAAAAGATATAATATTATTATTATTAATTTACCTGGGAACATGTTCACCATAGATTTGCATATGATTCTTTTCAAGGTGAATAGGTGATAAACTGTCATAGCCCTCAGGTTTTACATTTAATTCACCCTCTGGTTTTTTTTCAGGTAGCACAGTTGATGTACTGCCATCAGCCGTGACCTAAGAGACAAGACATGTAATCAATTAAAGGAAAAAATAAAATGCCATGTGCTTCCATTTCTGCTGATCCAGAGTGAGAACGCAGGTAGTCTTTTTGTATACTCAGAAAATCAGATAGATTTTATTTGCAAATAAAAGATATTATTCACTAAACTATAGATTGTACTAAAAGTGAAAGCCTAGCAGCACAGTACTACTTATAAACCACACCCAGAATGTGAAAACAAACTGGAACACATTTGAAAGAAAGTAATTACAATGGGGAGGGGACTCAAAATCTTATCCTATCAGATTAGTTCAAAGAATGGGATTTTTAAACACAAGAGAAAGGGTGTCCATGTGATAGTGTCCTCAAACAATGAAAGGGCATCACAGGGAAGAAACTTATACTCTGAGATTCCAAAGGCAGAATTAGGACTCTAGGTACAATACATAGGGAAATAGATTTAGCATCAACATGAGAAACAGTTTAGCTGTTATTGCTGTCTAGCTCTGGGAGGCTATCTCCAGAAAGTGTGGAACAGGCTGACAGCCTGCTGACAGGGATGTCCAAGAGGAGGGTCCATGTCTAGACTGTTGGTCGGCCATAACATCCTTGACATTTCAACTTGGGGGTTGGGGGGGGGGCTTTATGTTTCTACTTCTTCATAAATTGAAATTTGTCAGTGTGAACTCATGCTGTGAATCGTCTCAGTTACTTAGCAAAGCTGGATCATGGCTTGTCTGCATACCAAAAGCAAGTTAGGGACTCTGTGGCATAAGTCCAAATAGGAAAAAATAACTCCACAGTCACTAGACAATGAAGCAAATTCCACTTTTGGGTGAGGAATGAGAATAAAAGAATATAAATGCTTAGAGCAGGGGTTGGCAAACCTTTTCGGTTAGGGTTCAGAAGTAAATACTTCAGGATTTACAGCCCATGCATTTTCTGTTGCAACTGCTCAGCTCTTCCTTACTAAGCAAAAGTGCCAGAGACAAATAAGTAAACAAAAGAGCATCATGGTATTCCAGTACACTTGACTCAACAAGACTGAGCGTTGAATTTTCTGTAATTTTTGTGTCATGAAATCTTTTGATTTTTAAACCAAACTAAAATGTACAAAGAAAACAATTTAGGTGTTGAGCTTTATGGAACAAGTAGCCAGTGCCTGGACTACAGGTGGAGGAACAGTCACAGTGCTGAAAGTCAGAAGCAGAAGATGGAGCACTGCCAGAGAATAGCTGAGCATCTTCTCAGACTTCCTACCTCCCTATCCCCAGTCCTACTAGATATTTGTCACGATGGACTCTGCCTTGCTCCACACATTTGCCTTCTACCTTGTATTTGATTTCACTTTAACCTGGCTACAGATCATCCTTATATCATTCTTTGTGGTAGCATTATTTTTCAATGTGGGGTAATATTTCTTTCCTTCTGTTCTAATTATCTGTTATGCTTTAACACTTCTACTGTCCTACTTTTGGACTTGCCATCCTCCATGGAAACGCCCTTGGGAATTGAGGAAAAGATACTGCTTTCATGATTGCTTGCCCAAAGTATTGGCAGAAAGTGACTAAGTAATCCTATGGCAATGAAATTAAGAATCCACATGAAAACTGTCTAGTGTGAAATAGGACAGAGCTCAAAGCCACAGGCTCGCTTTCCTGGCTGAAGGTGCACTTTACCTGAAAGATGTTTCCTTCAGGATCCAGGACCTCACAGATGACCTCTGATGTGTGCTTCATGACGTACCTGCTGGCTCTAAGCTGCTCACGCTTTTGGAAAGGATGATGGATGTCACTGCTGGACTCATGGCAATATGTGGCTGAACAATCCCTATCAATATAGAGGCAACCAGTATTGGGAGGTAGCACCTGGTAGGGAAAAACAAAGACAGAACAAAATTTAAATTTCTTGTGCAATTTGAAAGACTTGGAACATCAATTTAGGAAAAATAATATCCATATCATAAAGTATATTCCCAGGAAGAAAGCATTATCTGGAGAGGACTTAAGGTTTGGGAAAGATTGCTTGATAAAGAGGTAAACTGAAATGTAAAGTACAGTTTCACCTGTGTCCTCACATTTATCTGTTCACATTAATATAGTATCTCCACTAAGTATTTTCCCTGAGCCTTCCTACTGCAGACATTTAATTATTTTAGTGGAGGCAAATATACATGGCAGTATTTAAAATGTTTGGTAACCATTGTGTTTGGACAAGAAACATCTCTAAAAGAGCCAGAAGCTATGGGCTTATTCTTAGAAGATTTTTGTTTGTTTGTTTGTGGTACCAGGGATTGAACTCAGGACCATGCACTTGCCAGGCAGGCACAGTGCCACTGAGCTACAACCCCAGCCCTCTTAGAAGATATTATTGTTCCTCACTTTTCTGGTGATGGATGCAGTTCTTTTTGGGGGGGTACCAGAGATCAAACTCATGTCCTTGCGCTTGCGCAGCAGGTGGCAAAACCATTGAGCTAAATCCCCGGCCCAAATGGATGCAGTTCTTAAGTAACAGCTTTTCTAATGACTACTGCTCAAATAGACCCTTTAAAAACATAATTCCTGGTCTGGAAATTTAGCTCAGTGGTTTCGCTGCCTGCTGTGCAAGTGCAAGGACCAGAGTTCAATCCTCGGTACCAAAAAAATAAAAAAATAAAAACATAATTCCTATTGTTATTACTTTAAAAGTGTATGATTCAGTAAATTTTGGGGATATGACAAACTTACGCAACTATTATCACTAATTCCAGAATACTTTTTATCATCCTCCAAAGAAGCACCAGTTTTATTAGTCCGTGTGCATTATCCTTGTCCCTAATCCCTGGCAGCGACTAATCCACAACCTCTATGGATTTACCTATTCTAGTCATTTCATATAAATGAAAAGCAGTACGTGGCCTTTTTCAGTCTGGATTCTTTCACTTAACATAAAATTTTCAAGATTCACCAATTTGAGCAGGTATCAGTAATTTATTCCATTTCAGGAATGAGTAATATTCCATTCTATGGCTTTTTTATTTCTCCACTCATGAGCTGATACACATTCTTAAAAAATTTATTTATGTATTTATTTATTGATTTTTGAGACAGTATGTACTATGCAGTTCAGGCTGGGCTTGAATTCATTATGTATCCTGGGTGTCCTTGAACTCACAGTAACCCTCCTGCTTTAGCCTCCTAAGTGCTGGGATATTAAGCATGCACCATCCTCCTCAGCCACATTTTATTTTTTTAACTAATCATTCATCATGAGCAGAAAAGCCCAGTCTGAACCTCAGTGGAGGGAGCAGAATTAAGGAGCCTGAGGAAAATCGAGCCACCGGAATGCGGAGTGCTAAAGTCAGCATTTTTGGACTGGAGGGGAGCACTGGCTCTCTCCTGAAATCTGCCTGGAGCCGGCTAGTGAAGTGGATTTGGGAATCTGTTTGCATTGTCAGCTTTCTTTACCTGGAAGTGTGGATGTAGGGCTGAAGTATGCAACTGGGTATGAGTATAGATCGATGTTTTAATTTCTACCCTGGACTTCTGCAGGTGGAGATACATGATTAACTGGCTCCAACATCTAGAAAACCTCTTAAACTTTTCACAAATACTTCCTTGTTTTTTTTTTTTGTAATTGTTTTTCAACTTTTTGTTTTTTGTTCTTTTTGTTTTTTTCTTACCTGCCCTGTCACATAACCTTTCATATGTCTTCTCCCTTCCCTCCATCCAAACCTATTTTCTCAGTTTTTCCTGCTTGGTTTTTGCCTTTATTTTATATTAGCTCATTCTATTTTCCGCCATTTTTTTCTTTTCATAGCTCTTGGGCCATAAAACTTGTTTAAACTTTTTTTTTTTTGGTACAGAGGATCGAACTCATATCCTTGTGCTTGCAAGGCAGGCGACAGAGCCACTGAGCTAAATCCCAGCCACCTTATAAAAACTTGTTTAAATAAATAGAAAACAATGAAAATAATCTCTTGCATCCTATCATATCATAGTGGAATAAAATAGAAATCAACAGCAAAATTAGCCACAGAAATTATACAAACACATGGAGATTAAATAATACACTTTTGAATACTCAATGGCTCATAGAAGGAATCAGAGAAGAAATTTTTAAAATTTCTAAGATCAAATGACAGTAGCCATACAACATATCAGAATCTCTGGGGCATAAGGAAAGCAGTGAGGGCCTCATTAGAAAAATAAAGTGTTACCAAAATAATAACCTAATGGTACATCTCACAGCTATAGAAAAGGAAGAGAAATCTAAATCCAAATCTTGTAGAAGGCCAGAAGTTATAAATATCAGAGCAGAAATCAACAAAATTGAGACTAAAAAGAATGAAAAGGATCAAGCAATCAAATAGTTGGGCTTTTGAAAGGATAGAATTGATAAAACTCTTAGGCATACTTACCAAAAAAGGAAAGACCCTTATCAATGAAATTAGAAATGAAAAAGGCAAAATTACAACAGAGACCATTGAAATTCAGAGGGTTATGAGAAACTACTTTGAAAACTTATATTCTAACAACTGGAGAACCTGGAAGAAATAAATTCCTAGATACATATGCTACAACAAAACTGAATGAAGATGATATAAAAAACCTGAAGAGACAAATAACAGGCAATGAAACTGAAGCAGTAATGAAGTCTTCTAACTAAGAAAAGCCCAAGGCCCACTAGATTCACAGCTCAATTTCACCACCACTTCAGGGAAGAACTAATGCCGGTACTTCTCATACTCTTCATGAAGCTGAAAAGGAGAAAATGCTGCCAAACTTATCCCATTAAATCAGCATACCAAAACGAGACAAGAACACAACCAAAAAAGAAAACTACAGGCCAATATATCTGATGAACATAGATGCAAAATTCCTCATGAAATACTTGCAAACAGAATGCAACAAATCTTTAAAAAGATTGTATCATGACTAGTTGGCTTCATCCCAGAGATGGAAGGATGGCACACATAGATAAACCAATAAATGTAATACACCACATACATAAAATGAAGAATAAAAATCACATGGTCATCTCAATACAGTAAGCCCCTGACTTACTGAGTTCCATCCAGGGAGAACGTTTGTAAGTCAGATTGGTTAGTGAGTCCAACAAAGTGAGTCTTGTATAGTATACCTGTGAAAAATTCACAACTCAAATGTCTGTAAGTCGGGGACTTACTATAGATACAAAAAAATTTAACAAAATCCAACATTTTTTTCATAGGAAACACCCTGATGAAAATAGGTATAGAAGGATTTTACCTCAAATTCATGGAAGCAATTCATGACAAACCCACAGCCAACAATATAATAAGTAAGGAAAAATTGAAAGCACATGTTCACTTTAAAATCAGAAACAAGACAAGGGCGTCCACTGTCACCACTTTCTTCAATAAGGTACTTGAAACATTAGCTAGAGCAATCAGGCTCAAGAGAAAGAAGTAAGACAAATAGAGAAGAAAGTGTCAAGTTTTCTCTATATCCAGATGATATGATGCTTTACATAGAAGACTTCCACAAGAAAACCCACTAGAAAACTCTTAGAGCAAATAAACAAATTTAGCAAAGTGGCCACATATGAAATCAATGCACAAAAATCAATAGGATACACCAATAACGAACCCAATGAGGAAGTAATCAGGAAAATGATCCCATTCACGGTTGCTCCAAAAAATTAAATACCTAGGAATCAATCTAATCAAGGATGCAAAAGACCTCTATAGTGAAAATTATAGTACTCTAAAAAAAGAGATTGAAGAGGATATTAGAAAATGGAAATATATCCCCGTTCCTGGACAGGCAGAATTAATATTGTTAAAGTGACCATATTATCAAAAGCAATCTATAGTCAATGCATTTCCTATTAAAATACCAAAACATTATTCATAGAACTAGAAAAAATGTCCTAAAATTTATATGGTACCAGAAGAAATCCAGAATAGCCAAAGTAATCCTAAGTAAAAAGAACAAAGTGGGAGGCATTACAAACCCAAATTTTAAGTTATATTATGAAACTATTGTAACAAAAACAGCACAATACTGACACAAAAATAGACACATAGACTAATGAAATAGAAGACAGAAATACCTCTATGTACTTTTAGCTGTTTGATCTTTCACAAAGGGTTAAAAAACATATACTGGAGAAAAAGACCTCTTTAATAAATAATGCTGGGAAAACTGGCTCTCCACCTGCAGAAGAGTGAATCTAGACCCATATCTCTCACCTTGTACTAAATTAAAATAAAAATGGATGAAAGACCTAGATAGTAAAAAGAAACACTGAAACTACTGGAAGATAAAGCAGGGAAAAACACTTGAAGACATAGACGTAGGCAAAGATTTCAGAATAGAGCTCCAACAGCACAAGAAATAACAAGAATAAAAAAGTGGGATTTTTTTTTCTTTTTTAGTTTTTATTAGTACACATTTGTAGCATATGATGATTACATTCATCATGGAACAAATGGGATTGTATCAAATTAAAATGCTTCTGTACAGAAAAGGAAATAATCAACAGAGTGAAGAGACAATCTTCCAAATGGGAAAAACTTCTTGCCAGTCCAGTTACTGTTCTAATAGAGGCCTAATATGTTTCTAGGTTATAAAAAGAACTCAAAAATATTAGACCTTCTAAAACAAACGACCCAATCAAACAATGGGCAAATGAAATGAATAAACTGTTATCAAAAGAATTACAAATGGCCAATACATACACGAAAAATGTTTAGTGTCTTTAGCGTTAGAGAAATACAAATCAAGACAACACTCTATCTTATTCAAAACTGGCTACCGTCAAGAACACACACACACACACACACACACACACACAGAAACAACAGCAGCAGCAACAAAAGCTGGTGAGGTTTGGGGGTAAAAGAAACCCTCCATTGCTGGTGGGAATGTAAACTAGCAAAACTGTTATGGAAAAAAGTATGAAGATTTCTCAAAAAACTAAAAAAGTAGAAATTCCATTTTATCCAGGTATATCTCTTGTAAGTATATTCCCAAAGGAGTTAGAGACATCATATTATAGAGATACACACATACAGTTTATAGCAGTGAAATTGACAACTTAAAAACTATGAAAAGCAGCCTAGATGCCCAGAGACAGACGAATAGATAATGACAGACAAATGTACAATGTGGTATACTCATGGAGTATTATTCGGTCACAAAGAAAGATCAATTTGGATCATTTGTAGGAAAACGGATGAAACTGAGACCATAATATGAAATATGTCAGACAATAAGATTAATTACTACATGGTTTCTCTTATATGAGAAACCTAAAATATAAATAAATTAAAGAGCAAGGAATGATGGAGAGATGGTAGGAAATGGGAAAATCGACTTCTTGCAGATGGGGAAGAGGAGAGGAGAAGAGGGGAGAGGTATGTGAAAGCAGGGAAAAGGAAAGGGTATAGAAAATTGATCAAAATATGATAAATATGTGTACCAATTTTCAAAACAAATGTTATTATTATGTATCACAAACATATGCCAATTAAATAAAAGAAGGAAGGTAGAGGTGGCAAGTGTTGCCAGTCAGGTATGCACAAACCTAAGTATGATCTAAGTACTTTTACCATCCACCGTGCTTAACATGTAAGAAATCCTCAACACATGCAGTTTGGTTTATAATCTTGATACAAAGCTTTATAAAAAAAGCAGGACAATGTTTTTCTGGAAAAGATTGTGAAAAGATGGTGAATAAATAAAAGTCTGAGAACTCCTCGTTTTCCAACTAACCTACCTGGTATGTTCCTTGTGGCTTTGCAATGATAGATGTCCCATCCCCAAAGGTGGCACAGCAGCTACTGTCTTCACAGTTGGTGGTAACAGTGGCATAGTGTGAGCTTTCTATCCGCATACACTTCACCTGTCTGGTGACGGTCCGAGGAACTTCAGCTACAAGCAAATAAAAGGTAAGCAGATAACTCGGGATACATAGTTTGGAAAATAAACCCCAGCCTGCTGACTTTGCTGCTGTCTCCTGGTTGTCTGGATTCTCCATGGGAAGAAGACAATTGGAAAGTAGACTGGGGGCTCCACCAAGTTGGGGTGTGGCTTATTCTCTTTGTCTATTTAGAATAATTCTTTTGGAATAAGTCATCATGCTTTTTATTCGGTCTCAATCTTGCTGTTCTTTTTATTTTGGGAAGCTGAAAACATTCAGTTTTTCATTTTGAAAATTGAAATGCATAAAATATAATGTAACTACCCATGTATTTATTTACCAGTCAAAGTTTATACTTGTCACTATTTGCCATATTTATTTCAACATTTATAATGTGTATACAAAAGTTGTGGTTTGTCTTTATGCCTAGATTTATTTCCTTTATGTAATCCATTCTTACATTTTTATATGAAGATATGCATTGAGAACAATTTGTAACACTAGTGTGGTTTAATTTTAATAAATTACATATTACACTATGTAATTATGTGACTATATAATTATTATCTATCATTCTGCATCTGATTTTTCTTTTAATATTGTTTTGAGGCCTCTGGAAATTTTAACAATGTGTGATTCTTTATAACCACTATCTAATGCTCTTTTGTATCAATATAACATTTTATTTTCCTATTCTGTCATTGATAGGAATTTGAGTGTTCCCAACATTTCAATATCATATTCAGGGTTCAATGTAGTACTTGTTTCCTTGTACAACTGTATAAGAGCATCTATACGTACTCCAAACCAGGGATAATATATCATTTGATATACGTAATTTTACAGGGAGGGACTGAAAAGATGTAGGCCAAAGGGTAGGATGCAGGTTAAGTAAGTGTGGACAACTATTAATGTGCAATATGAGGATTCTAATAAGTAATATCGAATTGTACACTGGAAATATTCTAAGTCGATTTTAGGTATTATCACACATAACAAAAAGTATGTGAGGTAACACACATGTTAATTTGTTTGCTGTAGCAATTATTTCACTATATATGTACATATGAAAACATATACATTTTAAATCTATACAATAAAGCAAAACCAAACTCTGGCAGCATTAAGGAAAAGAGGACCAAGGAAAAACTTTGCTTTAAAAATACCCTCTAAATTGAGAAGGTTCCAAATGTGTAGCAACTGCACCCTTCTTTTTCTTCTTACAATACTTTCCTGACGATGAGAGACATGCTCAGGTTTGAAAGAAGACTTATCCTAGGTTACCTATTTATACAAATTAGATACCTTAAAGACCAAAGGAAACAAGTCTAAAAGCTAATTTCTAGGATAGCTGATTCATGACTATTAGCTTTTAGTTGCCACCAATCTATATCATAGATCTTTAGAAGTAAAAATAAGAAAGACTATTAATATCCATCTGCCAGCTAGAATGGTTATCACTCCTATCTCTTAAGGATAAAGAGCATAGTAAAAGATACTAATGGTCTCCTATGTTCACTGCATCTGTTATTCACAATAACCAAGATTTGAAATCAAAATATAGAAAATGTGGCAAAGCTATAAAGTAGAATATTATTCAGCCTTTAAAAAGATGGAAATCCTGTCATTTGTGGTAAAATAGGTAAAACTGGAGGATATTATATTATGTGAATAATACAGGAGCAGAAAGACAAATGCTGCATAGTATCACTTATATGTAAGATCTGAAAAGTTGAACTCATAGAAGTAGAGAGCAGAATGGAGGTTACTAGGGGATGCAGGGCCTCAGCTTAGAGAGACGCTGCTCAAAAGATACAAAGTTTCAGCTAGATAAGAGGAATAAGTTCAAGACATCTGTTGTAGAATATGATGACTACAATAATACTGTATTTTGAAAATTTCTAAGAGAGTAGATTTTAAGTGTTTCACCACAAAATGTGTCATGTGAAGTAAAACATGTTAACTAGCTTTACTGAGCCATAATACAGCATATATATTTCAAAACATTATATTGTATGTGATAAATATATGTGATTCTTGTCACTTAAAATAAAATTAATTTAAGTAACTAAGACAAACACAAAATAATAATAATAATAATAATAATAATAATAATAATAATAATGATGCAAGGTTCTAACAGGCCCTGCTTTGTACTGCATGAGCATTCTTTGGTTGGCTGACTTCATCACAGACTTGTTTTATGTTTGTGTTCACCGGTCAGTGAGAAGTCTACCTATCTCCAGCTACAGAGTTATAAAATATTGTTTTGTTCTTGAAAAATAAAACTTACTTGTTTCTTGATCATCTGTAGAAATAATACGATCTTCATAAACTTGATAAAAGGTTGTGATTCTGGTACCATCTGCATGATCCACTATCCGAGTACCGTCTTTCTTTTCAACGATGACTACTTTGTCTTCTCGGGTTGTCATAACCTGTACAGATCAAAGTACAGCATGAACACTGGGCTAGGTAGTTAATCCCCAGTGGACTTATTTTTATGCCCCAATGAACACACAGCTAGCACCATCAAAATCCTGGTGGTTTACAAGTTTCATTCTCCTCTCATTAACTGTTGAGGCAGGCAGTGCCTCTATTTTATAGAGGAGGAAATTTAGGCTTAGAGAAGATAAGAAACTTGCTCAAGGCCACCTGAGTGAGTGCAAGGCCTATTTGTGAATAAAAAGTCATCATGCCTGGATTGACTTAGGTCTATTTGGGAGAATGCTCACAGGCCCTGTTTCCTTGGAAACTACAGAGTCCAGAAAACTGCGGGGTGGCTGTGCTGTCTTTTGTGTTGTGAAAACCCTGCTCTGTAGGATCGCTATGGGTGAGGCAAATTGCAAATTGAGTTGAGCTGCAGGTGCTGCGCTGAGGTCACCAGAACAGACTTAAGAGATCGTTAAGGACACCAGCTGCAGCTTTTCTGGGTCAGGTTGCTCCAAACACATAAATGTTACTATCTGCAGGGGCTGTGGGAGATGAAGAGTTCACAAGGCAGTGGCCTCACGAATGGGACTGATACTTGAATAAAAAGGACTCTAAATCTGTATAACAATTTTGGGAGTAGGCCATTTTCACTACATTGTTTCTTCCTACCCAAGAGCAAGGGATATCTTTCCTTTTTCTGATATCCTCTTCGATCTCCTTTTTCAGAGCACTAATTTTCAATGTAAAGATCTTTTACTTCCTTTGTTAGATTGATTCCCAAGTATTTTTTTTTCGATGCTATTGTGAAATGTGTTGCTTCCCTAATTTCTCTCTCAGAGAGTTTATTTGTGTACAGCAATGCTACTGATTTTTGAGTGTTGATTTTGTATCCCGCTATGATACTGAATTTGATTATTAAATCTAAAAGTCTTTTGGTGGAGGTTTTGGGATCTTCTATGTAGAGTGTCATGTTGATCCCAATAAAAATATCATTAGTATACCTCACAGAGCTAGAAAAAACTTTCCTAAAATTCATTTGGAAACAGAAGAGACATAGAATAGCAAAACCAATTCTGGGCAATAAAAGCAAGGAAGAGGGCCTCACAATCTCTGACTTGAAATTATACTACAAAGCTACTGTGATAAAAACAGCATGGTACTGGCAAAAAAACAGACCTGAGGATCAGTGAAACAGATTAGAAGACACAGAAACCACCCCAAACACACTCAGCCACCTTTCCTTTGACAAAGGGGCCAAACACGTTCACTGGGAGAAAGATAGCCTCCTTAATAAATGGTGCAGGAAAAACTGGCTTTCCACATGCCAAAGACTAAAACTAGACCCATGTCTCTCACCATGCACTAAACTAAAATCAAAATGGAGCAAATACCTAAATATTAAAACAGAAACACTAAATCTGCTGGAAGAGAGAATAGGTAGAACTCTTGAAGACATAGGTGTAGGCAAAGACTTCATAGAACCAAACTTGATTGCATGGGACATACTACAAAGAATCAACAATTGGAATCTTATCTTATTAAAAAGATTTTGCACAACAAAAGAAATCACCAACAGAGTGAAATGACAATCCACAGAGGGGGAAAGAATTTTAGCCAGTTGTTCCTCAGACAAAGGACTAATATTTAGAATATATAAAGAATTGAAGCCAGGGATTTAGCTTATTTTGCTCAGGGAATAAATAAAAACCAACAGAGATTATGTAAAGGTGCAAATTTCCAATGATGAATGTCATTATATTGTATACTTAAATGTACCAATAAAATTCATTTTAAAAAAAGAATTGAAAAGAATTAGACCCCCAAATTTAAAGACCTAATCCAAAAATGGGCATCTGAGATGAATACATACTTCTTAGATATAGAAGTAAAAATAGCAAATAAATATACCAAAAAATGTTCAACATCACTGATCATTTGAGAGATTAAAACAATGCTAAGATTCCATCTCACTCCAGAAAGAATGGCTGCTATCACAAAATCAACCAATAACAAATGCTGGTGGGGTTGTGGGAATAAAGGATCCCTTCTCCACTGTTGGTGGGAGTGTAGACTGGTGCAACAACTGTGGAAATCAGAGTAGAGATTCCTGAAAAAACTAGGATTAGAGGTCCCACTTGACCCTATTCCTCTGCTGGGTAACTTCCTGAAAGAATTAAAAGCATCATACCACAGCGACATATGTGCACTTATGTTTATAGCAGCACTGTTTGTTATAGCAAAACCTTGGAAATAACCCAAATGCCCATCAACTGATGAGTGGATAAAAAGATATGTTTTTCTTATACAATGGCATACTACTCAGTCATAAAGAACTATAAACTTGAGACATTTCTACATAAATGGATGCACTTGAGACCATACTTTTTTTTTTGTACCAGGGATTGACTCAGGACCTTGCACTTGCAAGGCAGGTGGCAGCAACACTGAGCTAAATCCCCAGCCCTGAGACCATAGTTTTAAGTGAAATAAATCAGACACACATGTGTAAATGCTGCATTGTCTCTCTGGTGTGAGAAATTGAAAGTGTAAATAAGAACTAAAATGTATAATAGATATTGGGAAATAGGAAGAAATTGTTCAAAAGGAAAGGGAAACTAAGGGTGGGGGGAAGGAAGGGGGAAAATGAGAAAAGAAGAATAACCTGGAAATAAAGCTTTGTAAATAAGGAGGGGAAAAGGGATTGAAGGGAGAGGAGGGGAATCAGAAAAAAAGAGGAATCAAGATACATCATGTAGAGGTACAAATTCCCTATGATGAATGTGATCATTATGTATATATAAATTATACCAATAAACTTAATTAAAAAATAAAAAAGGGGCTCTAGAGAGCCCTCATATTCTCTTTCTACCATGTAAGGCCTCAACAAGAAAACTCAGTGGTTTGCAACTGCCAGACCAGACAGGCTATGACCAGAGATAAATATCTGTTTATGAGCCACCTAGGCTATGGCACTTTGTTGTAGAAGCCTGAATGGACTAAAACTTTGGTGAAGTTCTAAACTCCTAGGGTTTTGTGTGTGTGTGTGTGTGTGTGTGTGTGTGTGTGTGTGTGTGTCTGTGCTTAGCTGGGTGGCCCAGAATCTCATTCAAGGAAGGGCTTCCTCCCCAGCTTGGGGAGTACCATCAGCGAACAGCCATCAGTTCTCAGCTCATTTAGTGTCTGCCTCAGCAGAAGAGAGATGCTTTGCCTGACTTACATCCTTTCCCAGAGCTGCACCCTGTGGTACAGATACATGGGTCTGTCACTTCTCCCAGCCTGTGCACATCTGGACAGGTGATACCTGCTGCTGTGCCCTCTGTGGGTGGACTGCAGCTTTGTGGTATTTGTACCACAGTTCAGTGTCTTCCTCAGCCCATTCCTGCTTCCTCCCCATCCTTCCACACATGGCGTCCTGCTACGTATCTTGCATTCTAAACCCCACCTCACTGCTTTTGGACAGCCTAACCTCAACTAGGCTATTATACATTATATAACATATATTTTAGTCATTGGGACTTTTCCAGATTTGCACTGTCCTCTAGGGAGCACAAGTATAAGGACCACAATGTTTCATTCAGTAGTCTGCATGGGAGAATGTATTTAGTAGCCACTCTTTGACTCAACTATCTGGAGTTATTGGGAATAGTTTTATGGTAGGCAGACATCACTAAGAGAAAGGCATGCTGAATGTTAATTTGGGTTTTTATCACTGACACTCTAACTTAGCAATGTATAATGAAAAACACTGCTATATGATGTGATAATTGACAGCATGAGCTCTAGTGTTAAGGGCCAGAGTTCAAATCCTGGCACAAGGATGGCTGAGTGATTTAGGCATGTTGTTTATCTTCTCTCTCTTCTACTCTCCTCATTTGCAAAATGGTGCCAACACTATCATTTTCTGACGAAGCTCATGTGGATTAAATGAGATGATGCTGGTAAAGTGGTTCATCTGAGTAGCCATCGAGTTAGTAACTGTTAAAAGTAGCTCTTTACTTAACAGAGATATTTATATGTTATTTTTTAGAGCTCTTCAAACATTTCATGGCACATAACATTGGCATTTTCTGGACACCGTAGAGTGGGATCATTGTTATTATTCTTCAAGGTGGTAACAACACAGTGACAAGAACAATTCTAATTATCTGATAGTGCTGGATATTAATTGTCCCAACTATTTCAAGCAATGACTCTTATCTTGAGATTATGAATGAGGAACCCCAGGTGAGAAACTTGTCCAGAATCATACACCGCCCAAAAACTGTGATTGGAGCACAAAGCCAGGTCTCACCACAGAAGTCATAATCACTCCTCTAAACCATGATTGGGTCAGGAGTTGTGAAAGACACTTTATTTTCAATTTTGTTTCCTATGACCATGTCAGTTTCTGGCACAGTGAAGTTCACTATTTGCTGTATGATCTTGGGCACGTTATTTATTTTTAAACAATAATACTTACTGTTACTTATTATTAAACAATAATATTTGGGTGTAGAACTGACTGAGTTAAGATATGGAAAGTGCAGAGAACAGAGCTTGGTATACAGTGAGTGCTCAGTAAGTATTACTTATTGCTGTGATTCTGCTAGATGCTTGTGTTTAATTCAAGCCTGAATCCAGATTTGGAGATGTTCTTCATGCTTCAATAATGGAGAAAGGCATCAGCGAGAAGTTAAAATTTAACTAAGAAGTGTTAAAATTTGCACGTTAAGTCAAATACTTTTACCCTAGGGCTGACTATTGCTTTAATTTGGTGTAGTGGGGATTAAACTGAGGGCACTTGCACTGAGCTAAATCCCCAGTCCTTTTACAATTTTCAGACACTATCTCGCCAAGTCACTAAGTTCCCCAGGCTGGGCCCAAACTTGTATCATCCTGCTTCTGTCTCCCGGAGTGCTGGAATTACAGAAGTGTGCGACCACACTCAGTTTCTAGGGATGAATTTAATTAAGTTATCTGAAGTAACCCAAACAAATGAAAAATCAAAACAACTCAACAAATACCCTTACTGAGATGATTATGTACTTTGAGTCTTAATTTAAAAAGGAAACAACAACTAGCAGACAAAGTAAGTGATTATTAAATTATTTGAGCACTAGGCTGAAGAAGAAAGGAAAAGATGTTTGGTTAGATATTGCAATTTATCTCAACAGCAAGTAGGCATTTTGCTTTTTCCACCAGCATGGGATTGGAAACAGAGATAAAGCACAGAGGAAATTCCTCATTTTGGATAGACTGAGAGGGTGCTGTCAAGCTCCACAAAAGATGTTAGAGAAATTGCTGAAGAGTGGAAGGCACCTTGTTCTTAGCTTGGAAGACTGGTTCCAATCCTGCCCCAGTGCTTCCCACACATACACTCTTGGCCACATGACTTTCCCTGCTGAAGCTCCATTTCCTCATCTGTGTAATAACACACATTTGCTGTGAGGACTGAATAGGAAAATGTACCTGAAACCCATAAAAGAAAGCCTGGCACAAGGAAGGTGCTACCGTTAACTCAAGAAGTTGTGATTTCATGTCATAAACAAACTATCATTTTCTATACTGCTAATTCATCACTTATTCTTAGGGTACAAAAAAAACCTTTCACATAGTTGCTCTTTGATGTTAAATTCTTGAGTTATTCAATGCAAGCATGTCTTAAATATACCACAGGTTCTTGAAATGAAGGATCATGAGCAAATTTCTGTCATTCGTGGGAGGTGGACAAGAAGAAGTGAAGATGCATAGCCTCTGAGTTCCAGAAGATAAGACACACACAGAGGGAAAACACATGAAATCATTACTCACCTATATCTTAAAATGACACAGAAAATCTTTGACCCACCTCTCACTTTAAAATTTGTTCCCACCTGATTGGACCCCCCCAAATTAGTGTTTTCATATCAAATATACAATATTTTTAGATTTAGCAGGCCAGAGCCATCCATCCATCCATCCACTATTTAACAAATATTCATTTAAAATAGATTATTTGCCAGACACTCTTCCATATGTCGTTTCAGGATTCTAATGGCTTAGACAATTTTAGACAACACACAGTAGGTTGCCATACCATTCCATTGACGGGATCTGTGGCCTTAAAGGATAACAGTGGGGTCAAATCTGCTACTTTTTCCAATCCTTTGGTGCCAATCCGATGTCCTTCAGGTGTGGTTGTGAACCAGGTGCCTATGTGAACCTTCACAGGGGTTACTGTTTGCACTACCTCCGGGGTGACTTCATGGATTTCACTCTTCTGCATCATCGACTGATTTTTGTGACCTCTTGCTGAGGAAGATAAATCAGACATAATAGTATAATTATGATTATATATATATATTTCATCAAGTTTTGCTACAGACACTGTGGCACAGACAGTACTAAGGGGTACTCATCAATCGCATTATTTCTTAACAGAAATATCAGGCTGCAAGTGTCTTAATTTTGGCCTCTCATTAGGGAAGATGAATTTGTACAGTTAGTTACTACAATGACAGTTGTGTGATACACTCCCTAATTTCCATCGTCCCTTCAATCCCCACTGGGATCAGGAATATAGAACAGAAGATATCCCCATAGAACTCTGACATGAATATTTTATTCCCTCTAACAAGGTAGATTTATTCTATATCCATGAATAACAATGAATAATTTGTATATAAGATATTCCTGTGTTATCAAGCCCAAGTAGAGAAGTAAATTTAGATTTAAACACAAATAGCAAGCAAAGAGAGTAAAGGATGGTTAACTCCAGATTCAGACTATGAAATGTGTAGCAGGGCATGAATAATTAGGACTAATAATAAGGCCTAATGAGGACTCAATTAATGGATGGAACAAAAGAAGAAGCTACAGCGAGTTAAACTTCCCCATTGCTTCAAGATTTAATTCTGTCCTGTCTACACTGCCAGAACATTGTCAGTGAATGAAAATGGTGTCACTTGCAGGACAGGCAGGAGAAAATCCTCTAGGAAATGACAGAAAATACTTTAGATACTGTCTTCAAAATTCTCCCCTTTTCTGTTCTTCTTCTGCTTTATCTTTCTCTTCTTATTTTCTTATCAAAAAAGGTGAACTATTGAAAAGTAATTACAGCATGAGGGATATAGGAAAGAGAGTAGACTGGAAATAGAATAGTTTGGGCATATAATCATTGATAATCAGTGTAGACAGAGTCTAAATTTCAAGCAGATTTTTATTGAGAGAAAAGACTAGAGAGGCAGGCACTAATTCCGTAAAGTGCACCTTTCCAATATGTTAAAGACCTTGGAATTTTTTTATAGGTGATGTTTAGCAATTAAAGAATTTTAATAGGGGTAGTGAGCAGAAGGTTAGTTAGATGTTTTTGGCAAGAATATGGAGAATTAGCACAGTTCGGAGGTTTCAAAGAAATAGATTAAAGATTGTAGTAGGGATAAGTAAATACAATTTTTGTACCAAAGTAGATTAGAGGACAAGTTTGGATATGGAAGAGTAAGGTGAGAGAATACAAAGAAGGTGTCACCTGCACATTGTGAAATCTTAATGACTGTCTTCCATCATTAAGTGTATGCATCAATAAAGTGAAAAAAGAAAACTGGTCAAAGATCAAACCAAAAGTGAGAAGAAAGAAACAGGCATGAATGGGGTTCTATTTTCAGCAATATCACATCCTGGATTCCAATAATTCCACTGAAAATAACTAAAACTACAGGAAAACACCTGTGTAACCCAGTCTCTATGAGTTGGAACTATATGTAAGGGAAAAGTGGGAGAAAGTGGGAGTTGAGGAGGTAAGAATAGCACTGAAGAGGGGCTCTGCCGTGTGGTCTTTATCAAACTGGGTGACTTTGAGTACGTGTTTTTTTAGTGTTTTAGGGCTTGATGAGGAAGGAAAGCTGGGGCACACTAAGCTGACGTGAAATAACATGAAACCTCTCCAAAAGTTTGAGACCTCAAAGGACTACACTCTTAGATTAACTGTTCATATTAACAGAAATGAACTCATACTTTCTCCTACTGCACTCCTTGATGTCGAGCACAGAAAGTAGCAGTGTTTGAGGCTGTATAACTACAAACAGATTCTTAAACAGCGAAAATTCACACTCCCTGGGTGACACAGCCAAAATTCCTTAAATTAACAATTTAAAGTGATTCATGATTATTGGCTCCCCATCATCAGCCAAAATCCTTTCTGAAATCAAAATTCTTTGTAAAAAGTGCACCCTTACACCAGCCCCAAGAATTTAAAATTAAAACCGTAAGAAAAAATGATCAACTCATAATCAAAGTGCACCGAAGTTGCAACGAAACAAGGCACTGAAGTGAGAATCAGAAGAAATAATAGAAAATAGATCCCAACACTTAATATATCAGAATTAACAAACAGAGAATATAAAATGTGTTCCAATATAATTCCAGAAGTAAATGGGGCCAGCAAGTATGAGTAAAGAGAAGGTAGTTTGGAAAGAAAAATAGAAGTCTTGTCTAAACAAATGTAATAACTAAAATAAAGAAATATTAATGCCCCTTTTTACAAGAGACAAAACACATTTAAAAGGGAGCTGAGAGACAGACCTGAAACAATTATTTAGAATGAAGCCGAGGGAGCCAAAGCAAAAAGAGATGTTAGAACATATGTTTAGTAGGAGTTACAAAAGGGCAAGAAAAAAGTATGGATTGGAAACAATATATAAAGAGGTAATTATTGACAAATTTCCAGAATCAATAGAAAATGCTAATCCAAAGATGTAAGAAGCCTAGTGTATTTCCACTTGGATCAACAGAAACTACAGATGGTCAAATCATATTTGACGCTGTAATAAAACACAGAGGCTATTTTAAAATTAGCTAGATTATCTTTAAAGCAAGAACAATTAGACTGAGAGTCAACTTTTTAACAGCAGTATCAGAAGCAGCTATGGAGAATTATTGTAATGTCTGGGAGAAAATTAGTATCAATTTAGGATTCTACATTAAGTGGAATTGCCTTTCACAAATGAGACAATTCTTTTAGAAAATATCAGCTATACAATAAAAGGACTAAAACTTCTAAAGAAAAACAATCAAATTTGATTTTAAAAATATCCATCCCAGGCCGGGGATTTAGCTCAGTGGTTCTGTTGCCTGCCTGGCAAGTGCAAAGACCCGAGTTCGATCCCCGGTGCCAAAAAAAAAAAAAAAAATCCATCCATATTCTGCTCGCAAGGGACACATTTAAACACAAGCCACAGAAAATGAAATATGAGGATGGTAAGAATTGTATTATAGAGCCAGGGATTTGGCTCAGTGCTGCTGCCTGCCTCACAAGCGCAAGCGCAAGGTCCTGAGTTCAATCCCTGTTACCAAAAAAAAAAGAATTATATTACAAGTTATTAAATAACAGCCAATGGAGCTATAATGATATAAGAAAAATAAACAGTGAAAAATGATGAAAATTTAAACTTACTATGAAGATATAATAATTTTAAAGTTGTATATATATGACTGAAACATTAAGAAAAGACATTTACTTTACAAATAAATAATGGTCAAATGATAAGAAGCATAGCATTGAATATATTATTCTATCCTTTCAGGAAATGTAAACATACTTCTGCTGAATAAGATTTAAAATACAAATAGAAAAATGTTGCCCTGTGGAGAGAGGAAGCCTGTGGACTTGTGAGTAATAATTTCTTTTACATACCTAAGTAGTTCAAAGAAAATTAAAAGAATACAACACATGAAAATTATATGACATTAAAATTTTAGAGTCCATAAAGAGTTTTTTTGGAACACAAGAGGGGGTTAAGCTTATTTAATCATGTATTGTCCAGGGTTACTTTTATACTCTAATGGCAGAGCTGAGTGATTGTGACAGAGACCGAATGGCCCGTAAAGACTAAAATTTTTATCATCTTGCCCTTTACAGGAATGTTTGCTAAATTTGAGATATGGATCTGGACGGCACAACTGACAAATTTCATCTAATAAATAGAAAGAGAACATTGTACCGAATAACTCTAGGATACATGCCATTTTTAAGCACAAAATTAAAAAACAATTCCTTTCAAACAATTAGTTAAAAATCAATTGTTAAAACAAGCTAAAAACACTTCATGGGCTTGCAAATGTACAAAGAAATATAAATAATTAAAGGGAAAAAGAAAATAATGTAATGAAAATTAGGTAGTATTTAGAACAAAAAAGAAAATATTAAATATTTCTTGTGAAAAGCCACATAACTTTAAATATTTAATCTCATCAATAATCAAATAAATGCAAAATAGCATTATAAGAAGATGCATTAGTTATTTATCAAATTCAATAAGATTAAGAGAATGATAGTATCTAGCACTGGCAAGGGTATGAAGAAGTAGAGATTCTACCCTGCATGTGTCAGAAATATTTCTCAGGGCAGCACTCCGGTGATTAAGATTACAGCTGGCATTGCTGGTTGCTTCCTCAACTGCTATTTTCTTTTTTCCCTGCTAACAGTGCTCTTCATCAAGAAAAAGGCCAAAAAAAATGCCATGTGCTTGTTTTCCCAGCTAGGTCCAGTCAATGAAATGCAAAGGGAGGTGTGCTGGGAGTGAGGGTGGAAAATGTATTCCTCCTCCACAAAGACAGACACTTGAAGAAAGCTCTTACATGCACCTCTTTCCTTTCTGCTTTGGAAGTTGCTACATAAGGAGTTCATCCTTGGAGCTAATGTACCTCTTGCAACTGGAGCAAAAGGTCAAAAACATCTCAGGTGTGTACTTAGACTCTTAACATTGTTGATCTTCTCAACCAACCCTAAAACAGCTGCCCCAGCAGTACAGCTAATGTAAAAACATATAATGACATAAGAAAATGTTCAGTATTTATTACTAAGAGAAAAAAATCAGTTCATGAAAGTATGTAATTCTGTGATTGCAATAAAAATTCATGTCTAGATATTTGAATATAGTCATAGTACAGGTGAAAGGTGCTCTGATAATGATATGGAAGACTTAGTAAGCTTGAAGACTATTAAATCCAGTATGAACTGGGAGGCTCCCCTTGTTACCTTTCTTTGCCATGGCAATCTCAGATGGAGCTGTTTCTGATTTTGGCCGAGAAGCTGAGTCTGCCAAATCTCCACTATGAGGGCTCATTGACACTTCAGGAGAACAAACGGGACCTGAATCAGGACTGCTGCTCACAGCCCCATCTGCAAAGAGGATCTGAGGAGAGAACAAAAGTCCTCAGCATCCTCAGAAGTGAGGGAAGGGTTGGCTAGCAGTAAGCACTGTAAAATGGCAATAGGTTTAAAATAATCCAAAGAAGAAAAGCTGATGGCAGGCCTCAAGGCTCATATCACAGAGCATATGACTGCAGAGTAGATCCCCAGCTAGAGACGATAGCTTAACAACCAGCACATTATGATTTGATACTTCCCATTCACTTTCTCTTTGTTTCTTTTGGTTTTCTGTCTTTTGTTGGATAACCATGAGATTTTTTCCATTCTTCACCTTCTTCCTATGTAATTGGAAGACTATTTACTCCATTTCAATTATTCAAATGACTGCATTTAAAATGTTATCACATATTTAAATGTCTAGTTTCTATTAATATCTATCTGCTAGGTATCATAACTCATGGTACTACAGATCCATCCATCAGTGTGTGCAGCTTTCCAATGAACATGATAAGGAAACCGAATGTCAATCTGGTTCTTATTCTTTTATAGATAACTGGAAGCTTTTTGAACTTTCTATCTCTGGAGTCTTAAAAGTGCAAAATGATTTATTTATATGATCTTTTAAAGATAAATTAGTGTCAGTCCTGATTGGTACTTGGTTGCTCCGTTTAATATGAATTATTTTTTAAGTGCTAGGAAATTTTCTTATGTTATGGTTATTTGATTGTTATTATCTTTTATTATTTCCCCCTTCATATTATTTTCTTCTGGAGATTCTAGTACATAAATCCCTTGTCTACATTTCTAAACATTTCTCTTGCTCACAATCAACCCCTCCTGGCACTTGGTCCTTCAACCTTATTTTTAATTTCTAGGAACTCTTGACTTTTTTTCCATAGAAATTTTAAAATTTCTTATTTCATTGATTTATAACTTCTCAAGTCTTTGCCTATATTACTTTTACTCAGTTTTATTTTTTTCGGTTTCAGTATTTACTCTTATTTTTAGGTGATTTAAAAATTCTTTTACTGACTTTTATATTTTTATTTTCATGACGTTGGCCGCCCTCTAAGGTTGATGCTTCTTGGTTTGTGACCTTATTTCTCCCTGGAAACCCTTTTCATGTCTCGGTGGTATGTTGTCTGTTTATAACAGTGCTGCCTTGGATCACTGAGGAATGGTAGGAGGGACTGTGGCCTCTGAGTGTTCTGTTTTCAGGTTTCCAATTCCCAAGAAGGAGTGTGTCACCCCTGGTACTACCCTGATTTTCTGACCCCAGAGGTGACATATCTGTTAGAACCTCCGTCTTAATTTTTAAAGTTTTTCTTTTGTGCATGTTTTAAATTTTGTTCTTGTTTCTCTATTGCTTTGATCCTAACTTGTATTTTCTAGGAATTCTTCAAATATTCTGACCTATTGATGATACATTTTGTTGTTCTCCAGTGCTATTATGAATTTATTATTTAAAAGTATTTTTATGTCACTTCCAGGTACTATGAGAGGGACGGGAGATAAACACCATGTTCTGATGCCATTTTAGATCATACCTAGAAATGACAATTTTATTTGTATCCTATTTACATAGTGTTTTTTCTTCTAACTATACTAATCTTCATTCATTATTTTAATGTGTCATTTTGTTTTGTTTCTCTTTTCTGCTATAGTACTGTTTCTTTCTCATAGCCCATCTGTCTTTTACTTTTCAGCAAGGGAGAGTGGATTATATAATCTATTCTTTTACTTGTGTGGATCCATCCAACATGTACTTGACAACAGTGCCTTGACTGGTGATAACTCTGGATGCCTCTTGCTCCATGGGTGGCATCACCGTTTTATAGAACTCATAGTGCTTCATCCTTTGGGGGTAGCTCTGACGGATCATGATGTCCCAGGTGGGTTCCTCATCCACAAGATGTAGACCTTAAAAAAGAATAAAAGAATCAAGTTATTCTGTGAATAGGGCAATCTATGGGGCTTGGAATTCATCTTCTTGGTTGCTTTCATTCTTTTGTTTGCATCTGAATTACAAGGGAGTTTTCATGCCTTGACAGATGGACCAGGAAACTGGTTCTTTGCTGACCTTGTTACACACCCAAATGCAGTAAGGTCATCTGCAAGCACATAATAGGTCCTTTCTCCATGAATATGCTCTTCTTTGAAAGGAAGCCCGGAACAGCTCAGGGCAACCATCTCAGATGTTTCTTTTTTTCTCTATTGGTGCTTTCCTCTCATTTCTGAGGAAATTCTTGCCCCAGGATGTACAATGCTACCCTAGCATCACTGGGTGGCCTAGAGCCCATTCTAAACCATCCATCACCTTTAAAAGTTAGCATAATCCCCTCATTTCTAACCAGACCCAGATTCCTCTCAAGGTTCTGCTGTTAGCTAGTAATCAAGGGTAAAAGCACCTAATAAGCTTCTTCAAAAGGAGGAACTATTGTGGAGAAATTCTGACATTTTGTACCTACCCAATTTGCTAACTGAATAATTTCCTCTTAATTATAATGTGGTTGGAGCCCCAAAGCCTTAAACAATGGAATGAAGATATAATGACAGGATTTGAAGGACTATAGCAGGCTGATGGGAAAATACTTTTTAGTGATCTGGTGGGAAAATACTTCTTAGTGGGACCCTTTTACAACCCCCTCAAACCACAGAAGAGATAATAATGATAAAATATTTATTGAGATTGTTCTATATGGTAATTACTTTATATATCTGTTTTACTTAGTCCACTTTAACAACACTTTAGACATTTTCATTTTCCAAAGTTTTCAAATAAAGAAATGGGGGCTTGGAGATACTGCTATAATCATACAGCAGGTAAATGGCAGAGCTAAGATTTAAATAATTTTCTTATACTGAAAACCAGTACCACCAACACACACACACAAAATAAAATCCCACAAAAAACAATGCAACCTCCTCACTATATATCACTAATATAAATGAACATATATTTAAGGTTAGATATTATTTCTCATTGAATTAAAAAATCTCCCAGGGAAGAATTCAAGTCTAAACTATTTCTTCTTCTTCCAAAGTAACCTGCTCTCTCTATGTCCAAGGCAGATATGGAAGATATTATTACTTTGGTATTTATGCTGTAATTCTGTGCATGCACAAATTAGGAGAGTCATAATATATGGAAGATTTTTAAAAGACAATGTATTCTAGGCAGAGTTGTTAGCCACCTTTTATATCTTGACATACGGATGAACATATCAGAGCAGATAATAAAACTTATATGAAAGACAGATGTAACAAGCATTAAGCAGAGGTTTGATAACAGAATCAAGTAAAAGAATATATGCCTGAACTTGAAAATAGTATCTCTCTCAGGGAATCATTGCCCCTTAGACTTTGGAAGAGACTTAGAGACATTGAGCATAGTGGTTCTTATCACATAAAATCTGGATCACTAGGGACCTTTGGAAATAGGGCAGGGTTTTAAAAATACTTCAGGAGGCCTAATTAAAGTCTAAATTAAGACAAAGTATATTAACTGCCACATATAGCTGATTTTATTTTGTCTGGCAAGTAAATAAAGCTCAGAATTACTTTTAAGTCAGTGTAATTTTTTCTTTGATAAGAGCCACTTTTCAAATGTAAGGTAGAGAGGGAATTAAAATAGAATATTTGTTGTGAATAAAATCAAGATCCATTGATATAATCTAACATCTATCAGATGAAGAGACATGGTCCAGAGGGTCATACAGTTAGTTGATTTGAAGACTGACTTTGGAAGTGTTCAGTGTCTTCTTTGCTTCATGTATTTATATTAAAACAGGAGGTCTCCATTTAAATGTTACTTAGAGTTAATTACTAACATAGATACCCCCTCATGTTAATAACAAGTCCTACTTGCGTTTATTCATCTGAATAGATTAGAACCATACATAGAACTGACAGAAATAACAGACTCTCTAGAATCATGTTCTGATAGGTGGATCATTTATTCAACCTGTACTTAGCACAATCTACTTTGTGCCCCTTGAACATTACTCATCAAAATAATGCTCCTGTGGCCCTCTGTAGAGGCCACGTAGGAGGTGGGTGATCTTGGGCAGGCTGTTCCATCTTCTACAGTCTCAATGTTTTTATTTTGTAAAATGGAGTCAGTGCCTAGCTCATGGTATTTGTTTTTTCCATGTCTGTTAGGTACTTAGAGCCTGGCCACAGTAAATGCTCCAAACAGGCCATTATTACTATCCTCATTATTTGAAAATAGTCTTGTTCATTAGCAACAAGAGATATACTTAACAAATAGGAAAACACATAATTTTTAATGGCAAGTTAACAGTTTTCTTATATGGCTATTTTGCCCCTGCCTCCCTGGCCCACACCAGCTTACACTCACCTGTGGACTCTTGCCCAATAAAAGTCAACAGAAGCCCATTGGGGCAAGACACAGTTAGGTTTTGGAAGGTGGGAACATAAGGAGTCTCTTGTAAAAGAGGTTCTCGTTCTACTTCTTCCTGTAAATAATTTTGTATGTGAATATTTATCTAAATAAATTTTCTAAATAAACAATTACTTTGACTATATGAGGATTTGGTGAGTGCTTATGATATAACTTGTAGACAGCTAAGGAGATTCTACAGTAGATCTTGGCCTTTGTAAAGTTTGTACTGTCCTTGCAGAAGGGCACATGAAAAACGGAGGCAATTAATTGGTAGTACCAAATGGATGGGATGTCTTCCCTCAGAAAATAGAGCTATTACAATTAATAGAAATAATTAGGAAGGGATTCATGGAGGAAGTGCAGCTTTGAGGTAGGCCTTGAACCATGCTTGCACTTGGATGTGTAGGTAAAAGGATATGGTCTGAATGCTGTTGCCTCTCCTGCTCCCGCATTCATATGTTTAAACCTAATATCCAAAGTGATAATATGAAGAGACAGGCTTTGGGAAATGATTGTCAGGATGGCTCTTCTTCATGACTGGGATTAATGTCCTTTTATAAGACAAATGAGGACACACAGAAGGTGCCATTTATAGAAACAAGCCCTCACTGACACCGAGTCTGCTAGCATCTTGCCTCCAAAACTTGAGCAATAAATGTCTATTGCTTATAAATCACTCAGTGGAAGGTGTTTTGTGATACCAGTCCAAACAGACTGAGACAGGTAGAGTGTGTGGGAAACCAAAAGCCCCACTCCCTCTTATGTGTGTGTAATTCTTACAGTTGTTGTGCAGAGATAGCATGCTTTGCTAATATTTGCCATGACTTTTTTATAACGATGTCAGTAAAAGCAATGAAAGAAAAAAAAGAATGAACTTCTATTTATAAATTAATGAGGGGTTGGGTGTATATACTTCAAAATTATAATTAATTGTATGTCAGCCTGAATCCTTTGCTTGGTTATACGCACTCAAGAATGAAAGTTATTTGGCAACTTCCAAACAATTATAAAGGAAAAGAATTTCGGTTTTTTCAGTTGGTTCTCTCTTGTTAGCTGCTGAGATCTTTCTAATATCTCATTGTTGAATCTTTCTAGCATTGGTCATGGACGTTGTTCTGTCTTTTCTGTCACTAATGAAGGAAAAATAAAAATAATTGGCTAAAATGTGTTTAAAAACAAAGAAAATTATGAGGAAAATTAAGAGGCTTATGAAATTCTTCGGAGTGAAGAAAAATAGTCAAAGGCACAAACCTGCCACATCAGATTGATCATACCACAAAATCCACGCTCGTATCACAGCCTCCTGTTATCATCAACTTCTTAAAATGTTAGGTGAACAGATGGGTTTGCTATCAAATTGCTTTTGGCTACATTAATTTTACATGGATTATCTGGAGGTTATTCTGTCCAACGGTTGAACTTTCCATGAACCAAGAATCAAGGCTCATCATCCAGGCAGCAGGATGAAATTCATGTAGAATAGCTATGCACATATGGTGCAGAAGCAAAAAAGCATTGAAATCCCATCACTTTTTAAAGGCTAGACTCTGAAATACAGGGTCTTGGAACTTTTTAACATGTTTTTTTTTCTTCTAATAAGCACAATATACTTCTGGAAATAAATACTGAGAGTCAAAATTTCCCAGTAGTTTTCTTGTTATCCCTCTTTTAAAACTCTCTTTTGACCTGTGTTCTTCTGGGACAGTGTTTAAAATATGTGTGTGTGTGTGTGTGTGTGTGTGTCCTACAATGAAGGCCTGGAGTAGAATGCAGGCTGTCCATTAGTACTGCTGAATTCTTAGCATGTCAATATCTAAGTCCAAGTCTAACAAATGAAAGTCTTTCCATTAGTTATAGGTCTTTGTGTTATAATTGTTATGTATCTCATTAAAGCTACATGAAGTAATAAAAAACAACAAATACTAGCAACTTAACCAACTAAAAACAAAAACGCAGGGATCACAGTGGGGAAAAGATTGACCAAGTCCTTTTGAATTTAGAATGAATGACCTGAAACAATTTGTGTTTGTCAGTGTCCCTTGGAGTGGGAATTCTACTTTGGTGAAAATCCTCCTATGTACTCCAAGTCGACACTCTGGAGAATGCTAGTGCAGCTGCAAAATAAAATATATTCACTATGATAACACTATTGATATGAATTATGGTTTTAAAAAGTCAACACTGAGGCACAAACAGGGTTTGGGAATCTGTGGCAAGGTTCATTTACCTTTTTCTCTTCTTCTTTTGTGTGCTCCTCTTCTTTAAGGGATTCCTTGGGTTTTTCTTTGCCTTTTGCTTTCCCTTTTATTTTGCCTTGAGGAATATTCACTATAGTGGGGATCACTGTTGGAGTAAGTGCTGAAGGGATATTCAACACTGTCTCCAATTCAGGGTCCTTTTCCTCTATAAACAAGAAAAGAGAAAAATGAGTAAATTAAACACTCATAACATTTACATCTCAAAGTTTATATAAATTGTCAACAGTTTTTACCTTCCTAAATGTGTTTTATCAGTTGGATATATTTCAGGGGTAATATAGTTGATTTGAGAGTCAGGAGGATTGTAGGTAGAAAATTTCAAAGATTATTAATACTTTAGTATGCTTGATTAATTGAGTCATTATGTCACATGTTCTTGCCTTTCCATCTACACTATAAACTTCTCAATGGTAGAGAAATAATCTTCCATTCATTATATATGAAAAAAGTAAAAGTCCTATCAACATGTAAGATCTGAACCCAAATAGCACAATACAAGGACAGGTTAAATAGAAATGCAAGAAATGGTGCAAACAAGAAAAGCCAGGAAAGAAATGTTATTTTTAGCTGAGATGATAAAAGTTCTCTGTGGAAGATGTGTTTTCTTCCCGGTTGTAAAGGATTGCTGGGATTCTAAGGTGAGAGCAGATGAGAGGAGGAGTTAGTGGTGAGCATCTCTTTCATCTCAAATTCTATTCCCTCTGGGTTCCAAGACACCACTCCTGGATCTCTTACTGCTCTGGTCAATTTTTCCTCAGTGTTCTTTATTGACTCTTCCTTTTTGGTCAGCCCCTTAGTTTATTATTATGATATCTCATTATAATATTCATGGAATTGAAAACAACTGCTCAGGCCCACATGATGTACCGAGTCAGATTCACAGAAGATGAGGCTCAGGAAGGTACATTTGTGAAAGCCTGTAATTATGCTACCCAGCCAGGGCTGAGCATCTCTACATATAGTATTAGATCCAGATAATCTTACTAACTCTTGGGGCTCTACACAGCCTCTACCTGCTATTGACTCAAACATTTACCTGATCTTCCCTCTCAGTCCCAGATACATATTTCTAACTGCTTTTTGGCATCTCCTGTTTATGGTGCTAGAGACCCTTGAAACTATATGAAGAAGCCAGTAATCATGATCCATGGTAATACTGTTTCTACAGAAAAAGAGCTACAGAGTAGGGTAGACACCTGGATCACCACGGTGTGCACTAACACAGTTTTGAGGTTTACAGCGTAGGGATTACCTTTTGATTTTGTAATGCTTTTAAAAAATATGCTGTGGTTAGATCCCTTTAAAATGCATAGGAACCCACAGATTTCCTAATTGGTTCTTGGTAAAGTGAAATATTATTTTGTGGTCTGAAAGGAAATAGCTTCCAGTTGAGGAATTTATTTATTGAAAGAGGAGGAGAGAAATCCTTCAAGATGTTCAATGAATAGCTCCTTTAAGACTAATGTCCTGAAGCACTCCGAACAGTTGTACAATCCCAGAATTCATAAAAATATTATTCTGTAGAAAACCAAAAGGCTTTCTTGGTAAGTTATGCTTTCTTTGGCACCAACCTTCAGAATTATTTTCATGGGCTAGTTAACAAAGTTAAGTGGAATATGTATGTGTGTGTGTATACACACATGATCTTACATGTATATGCAATTATATGAAAGATTATGTACATGACAAATGCCACTGAAAAGCCAAAGCTATATTGTCATTTGCCATATATGAAAGATGATATATATGCATATGTAAACATATGTATGTACACATATGTATATGTGCCACACACACTCCTTATATCTTCATCTTGTAAAACAAATTATAAGAAGCATTAAACTAAGCCAGTTTATTGACAGTGTATAGACTGAGGGTGGGCAGTGACTCTGGACATGGGACACACATCTTTTCTTTTGCATTTATTTCACCTGGCACCATTCCACTTGCTCCATAGTAACTTATTGAGAGGCAGATTCCATTTTCTAAGGTGGCAGAAAAAGATCCAAACTTGCTGACAGCTTTACCCTCTGCATGAGATACTTCTAAAAGACAAAATTAAATCAAAGACATTTTCATTTTTATTTAAAAGCAATGTAAGCAAAACTTACTGGGAAGGCTGGGGCTCAGGGTCTTAGTTGGTCTATCACAATCAATTTAAAATAGTTGGTTGGGACCCTACCATGCATGTACTCAGGGATATCAGAAGTAGGGAAGAATTAGGAAGATGAGAGCAGGAGACATTTTTTTTTTAAAAAAAACCTAAGTGTTCTTTTACTGGAGTTTCAGGTGACTGTGATGCCTGCTAAAACTCGATAGCAGGTGAGAGGAGGTCATGCATGTGTAAGGGCATGCAATATATGGGAAATCTCAGCGCTTCTTTCTGTCAGTTTTGATGGAAACTAAAGATGCATTAAAATAAAATATATAATAAAAGATAATGCTTAGTGTTAATCAGGGTACAGGGGAATAGGCATCTTCACGCATTATTAATGGGGGTCTATTGGTAGTATTTTGAAGAAAATTACTCTGAAACAAGCCCATTGAAGAAAATTACTTTGAAATAAGCCATTGAAGGGAGCTGTGTGGACAGAGAAAGGGATATTACTCAGAAAACAAGAAAACAGAACACATGCTCAAAAATATAAATATTATGGGAGAGAAAACGCTTGATTTCTCAAGCACATAAATATACTTTTAAAGCACTTTCTAGAATTCAAAAACATGCTTCCTTAATCAAGCCATTAAGTGTTTGACAGACGACCTGAAGTGGAGAATGGTTATTATTGCGATTCAACAAAGATTTCTTGAAAAGTCAAGGGATAAAAGTAGCTCAAAGCCCAGGGCAGCATCTGCTATGTATGTATGTATGTATGTATGTATGTATGTATCTATCTATCTATCTAACTATCTATCTACCTATCTATCTATCTATCTATCTATCATCTATCTTACTTTTTTTGCAGGGAGAGCATTGATATAGAAAGAAATCATGACGAAGACATGAGATTTGGAAGTTAAATTTTTGCATATTGTGGTAGGAAGAAAAAGGAACAATGAAGGTGAGTGAAAAATTAAATCAAAATCAAAGAAAAATTATCTGAGCTGAAGCTAGAGCTTGATTCTCAGATTACAACAGTTTAGCAAATTCTAATCCAGAAGTTAAAAGCCAGTACAATAGAACTAAGAAATGGGTGGCAATCCACGGTGCTATGACCAAACTTTAAGTAAAATAAAGCTGAAATTAAAAATGATAATCTCAGACTAAAATGTTTAACATTAGAGCTAAAGTTGGATATTATTTAACTATGCAAAGAGCAAATGATTAAATTAGTATATGTATGGATATATTTTAGTAGAAACCACCCAAATATGTAAAAACATGAAAATAATTGATATACATTATGATATAACGTATATCAATTATTTAAAAATCTTGTTTTCAAAGAATATTTAGTGAATAGGAAAGTACACTATGAATAGTCGCTATTATCAGGGTGGTAGAATTATAAGCAATGGTTATCTTTTTTTTTTTTCGGTTTTTAAAACAGAGTCTCACTATGTATTCTAAGTTGACCTTGAAGTCACTAGGTTGCCTTGGGTGACTTCCAACTCTTGGTCCTCCCACCTCAGCTTCTCAAGTCCTGCTACTATGGGTATGCATCACCAAATCCGGCTTAACTGTTATCTTCTTTAAATGTTTGTATATTTTAAAATTTTTATAATAATTTATTTTGGTATCAGCTACGACAAAGAAACATGATTTACACTTTTATGTGGTAAGTTCTTGGGTACATTCATACTCGTCAAACATCGTGCTCTTGTGTTTGGATAATGTCACTGTAACAAACTTATAAGCAATATTTAGCTACTGATCCTGTCCCTAACTGGACTTGACTTGAAAGTATTTTAATGATTAATCATCTCCGCTTGCAGGTGTAAATCATACAACTCTAGACAGGAAGCAGTGGTGTTGTCCAGAGATATTCCTTGGTGTTATCAGGAAGTTTCATGATGTTTAATTAATAGAGATCCTCTCCTACTTCCCGCCTTTAAGTAGGTAATGACTTTCATGGCCAAATTTGTGTTTTTCTGTTGTTCTTGAAACCTAGGAAATTTGGTGCTTCAGAGAGAACTGAGAGGAAGAAAGATATCGTTGAAATGAATATTGGCAAGCAAGTAAATTTCAGTAGGAACCAATTCAGGAGGACTCTGGGTCTTGGAGTCTGTACTGAGTGCAGGTGTACAAATCAAAATTAATGAGAGGATGGACATTACAGAGCAAGTGTTGCTGCATGAAGGTAGCTGGCCGGGAAGGGGGTGGCTGCATGGCACCTGAATCAAGGGCTTGTTGCCCGGAGACAACAGAACCCGGTCACCAGCCCAGAGAGACAAGCTAGGTATGCAGTGCATCTCTACACTCCACTAGGGAAATGTATCTAAGCAGAATGGCAAAGCACCTCAGATTCTGAGGTAGGATAGGAGAAATAATGACAGGACAGAGACAAAGAAAATCAGTATTTTAAAATCATACTTTTAAGAAAACTATAACTTCGGGGCACAAAGTTACCCAAGGTTACAATGCCTTCTCCCCCCTTCTCCACAATTCCTAAGAGTCAAACATACAAATTGGCCCTGTGCCTTTCACCTGTAAAGTGAACCTGTGCCTTTCACTGTAAATTGGGCCTGCTTTTCTTGTGATGCAGTAGATGCACACATTCCACAGGCTTCCACTCTCAAAGAAACGGCATTGTATTGATATCTCTAAACTTCAAACACATAGCCCACTGACAGGTCACCTGGCAGACACTAAGAATATACAACTTAGATTATCCATCTTGAGGACACCCCTGAAACGTATAAATACCCCATATAAATACCCCAACTCCAGACCATGAAGGTCTTTACCTGCTTAGAGGTGAGAGGTACAAGTAGATGTCTATTAATTAAACACCATGAAACTTGAGGGTGCTCTCTTTTTTGAGGGCCCACAACCTATTTTCTCTGAGTCTGTAGTTTTTCAATTGTACCCAATAAACCTGTCTCTGCCTCTTACTGATGCATCTTGAAATCCTTTCCTGTGACAGAAGCCAGTGAACCTACTCATGGGTGGGGTGAGTTGAGGTCTCCAGCTCTTCTTCAGGGAGACCTCCCCTGACCCTGACAGTATTATCTGAACAAATTGCAAGTGCAAGGGAGGCTCATGCATTTTTGCTGGGGGACAGGCTTGACACATTGCTGGCGTATTAACCACAAAGGCGCAGCTGCTTACTTGCTTCAAGATTTTGTTCCTCATCTTTTTCTTTCTCTTCTGAAGGATAAATTTCTTCTTTGCTTTGTTTTTTCGCCAAACTCTTCGGGTCTTTTAGGTGAATTATAAAATTATGCTTGTCCTTTTTCACTTTCACTTTGATAAACGTTGAGCCTAGGGAAGAGCCATGGAATAAGATAGTCTGATTAGGCTGCCACATGAAACCGTCTGACCAGACAGTCACATAGTGCAGCACAGAATTCAGATCACCGAGTGGAATACCTGGGAATATCTCCATAAACGAAGGATGTCGTAAGGGGCACGGATGGAGGAGATACTTGCAGGCCTTCTAGTTGTATCTCAAACCAAAATAAATGTGTTGAGGCAATGCGTGCCCAGAATCAACTTTATGATTCATCAAATGAGGTAATACAAAAGGGTTTTGCAACTTATAAAAATAATTAGTGTTGCCTATATTAACTATATTAATTATTATTATAAAAGTTATTTTTCTAATAACTCATTCTCTTTTAGTGCTCTCATTCAGTTTTATTCAACTATCTGTTTTTCCCTCTCTTTTTAAAAGTCCAGCCTTTTATTGTCAACTTTGCCTGAGCTATATGTCCAAACTGGTAAATTTAGGATGAAAATACTGTACTTGGAGCCGTGGGAGATTCAATACATTGTATGCATTTGTACATCTTAATAAGAGCTAAAATAGCAGCAGTAGGCCCCCAAGCTCTGTGCTCCAGAGCCCAAACCAGAAAAATGTTGCAAACTCACATCATATACTTGGTTTCTGAGCTAACAGTATGTGTTGAAAGTAATATTATTCATTATGTATTTGCTTATTGCAGTTACTAATACACTATTTACAAATCACATAGAAGTATTTTAATAACTGGAATGGTCATATCAATATGTCCAAGAGTAACTCTGAGTGGCCTATGCCTTGTAGAGTAAATTAAAATAGAAGAATAAAAAATCTGAAGATGCTGAGTGTGGTGCATACATGAATCACAGTGGGTACATCAACAATTTCATCTGCCACATGGAAGAGTACAAGGTCTCATGATTATCTGAGATGTGTTAACATCTTTCAAACTATTAACCAATTGCTTTCATAATATACCTTTTGCAAAGGTTGTCTTTTCTACTTCAATCTGCCCTCCATCAGAAGGATACAGATAATAATTTGCCCCAGAGATTTGTATAGGTGTATCTCCCATGTTGTATCCTCGAAACTAGAAGAAAAAATATCATCCTTTGAGCATGGAACTGCAACTGACAAAAACAACTTATCAGTGTTAGCCAACTAACGCTGCCATAAACTAAATTTCTGATAAATAATAGGTCTATCACTTTGTCAGCTTAGAGGCTAGAGTCCATATAATCTTTAGTAACTTCTATGGTATTATAATGACAAGCAGAGTTGAAAGAGGTCTATGGTTTTAAACTCATTAGAATATCCTTAAAATCTCGTCCAAGTCAAATTGTTGTACTATTATCATGCAATATGAGAAGAAATTGAAGTGTCATTCATCAGCTAATTTTCTGTTTAAAGTGAACTGATATTTTGCAGAACATTGCCATTTGAAACTGTTGGAGATCATATGTAAAAGACATGCTTTGTTAAATGTTGTTACCGGAGCTCCAAGTGATTTGGATACCTGTATGTGCTAAAATTTGAGAACAAATGTTTTAGAATAATAGCTACAAAGGAAAGATACTATTATATTTCTTTCCATTTTTTTCTCACTAGATTTTCCTCATAAGTAGCTATTTGAAGGATTACTTAGCAAAGAGATGGTCTTACAAAAGCATACAAACTGGAAACATGGGTGCTTGTAGAGTAGCAATCCAATGTGCTTAGCAAGTCCTATCATTTTAGACAAAGCCAACCTTTGTGTTGCTTTATTACCATTGCTTATTTACATGTACCTACATGATGGCTTCTGTGTCATATGTCTACCCTTGAGTAACCTGGTTTCATGACAATCAAGAAAAACTGACCCGAGAGTGTTTCTGTTTGGAAAGAAAGTTTTCTTATAGGAAGGTGGAATACAGGTTTGAACTCATGAAAAATGGAAGAAATCTTGTTTTCCCCCAGGAGAAATAACCCAAATAGACTTTTCAGAGGATTGATCTTACTGGATACTGCATCTCAGGTTCTCGTTGGGGCAGGGCCTCCTCTGATGCTTCTGAGATTATTATTAATTCTTCTTTAGCTTTGTCCTTAGAAGGAGACTTTTTCTTCAAAGACCTACTATCTTCGTTCTCTGTTTTATCATGGCCTTTCTTTTTACCGGCATCTTTGCTCTTCTTTTCTGCTATCTCTTCTTCTCGTAAACGTTCCTCTTCTGCTAACCGTTCCTGCTCTTCTTTCCATGCCTAAAAATACATTTTAAAAACGTAATCGACTTTTTGAGAAAAGTTAAATATGCATTCCATTCGGGTCCATTTTGGCAAAACTTTTGAGGTGACTTTTGCAAATGGTAGCTCTGACAAATCAAAACACTGAGCTAGGAGCCTTGGAGACATCCCTGATTCTTTCTCCTACCCAACTTCTATATACTAAATCCTGTCAGTATTCCTCAGGGATACTTCTACAATTCAGCTTCATCTCTCATGCTCTGTTGTAATTTTCTTAGTTCCATCTTTCATTATCTTTAGCCCGGACTGTAGACGTTTTGCTGGTCTCCCTATCTCTTATCTTTCTTTGCATGTAATTTATCCTTAATTTAAGCCCTAAAGTTAGTTTATCAGCAGTATGGAAGATTAGATGTTCTGAGAAACATTCCTGGTACAAGATTTTTAAAAAACAATGGATAAAATATTTTTAAAAAATCATTGTAATGCATAATTGAGCTAGCAGAAAAGAAAAGGATATGCAAAAGCACTTATCCCATAAGATACATGTAGTACGTGAGGACTAAAGACAAGAATTTACCATCCCTAACAGCCTAAACCTTTGTTTTAATGGATCATGAAGGGTAGAGACAAAACCTGGGGGAACAGACCAGAGGCCTCTGAAGAAAGCTGGTATTTTTTTTTCTTAAATCTACCTTTGTTGGGTGAACTAGAAACAAATATTTCTTTATAGACAATCATGAGAATGCTAGCCTGCTTCTTTGGTTCTGGGACTCAGCAGTGGGGTAGGGAGTGGGTGTCTGTCCCAAGAACTCCTGGCCTCAAGCCTGTCCTCACACAGGTTTGTGCACATTGATTTAAAATTTTATTTTAAAAAAGTTATGAGTTGATATGATTGCACAAATTAAAATCAGCAAACATGAGGAGATAAGTCTCTTTGAGAAAGAACCAGAAGAAATAAAGTGTGAAAGTATATCTCCAAAGACCATAGGCACTGGAATAATGAAATAAGAGAATATATAAAATAATAACATAAAATAAGTTTTAATGTGTTTAAATAAATAAATAAGCATTAAAAGTATAAGTAAGAAAGAAGGGAGTATCTAAAATGATGAGGCAAATTTGAAAGTCTTGAAAGTGAGCTAGAACTTTTGAAAAGGTAGTATTTGAGCGGATAATGCCTGAGATACTTTCAGAGCAGTGAATCAAAAGCAGGAAATAACAATGGTTGCTAGACCTGATTCATATTGACCTGAAAGAGTTTATTGTTAAATCCTTAAGAATTTTATGAGCCAATTGTTCACCACAACCATCATCACCAAATGCACAATTAAATAAAATATTTAAAGCAAAGGCAATAAATACTCAAAACTCACCAGTTCACAACTTCTTTGTTATGTTTCATTATTGTTTATAGAGCTACTTTGCTATATTTCACTATTATCTATGCTCTTGAGGTTATTTGTATCAATGTTACCAATTTTGTAGAAACATGGTACTATGCAATGATGTGCTACTAGAATAGTCATTAGCATGACCTAGAGCATGTCTTCCTATCAATCACTGGCTAGGACCACTTCTCCATCAATCATTAAGGATCCTGGTCCTGCCAGGGACCTGCCTCTCTTAACTCCCAAAATAATAGCCACAGTTAAAGTAGCAACTGGGGAAACTCCCAACTCAGGGGCAGGTGCAGAAACACCTCAGAGTGTCTGAAAGTAACATTTGGCCATGAATAAACTCATTATCTACTTGTCCATATGGGATGCACCTCAGGGATAGAATTGTAACAGAGGAAAAGGACACGCACAGTCAACACAGAGGACCCAACTCAGCATGAGCTGTCAAATATACTAGGACAGCCTTCTGGGAGGAATTTGGAATCTTGATCAAAAATAAAAGACCCCTGTTACTTATAATCAAGGCCACCGTGAGCCTTTTCAGTGCTCAACTCTCACTCTGCAGAGCACACTTATTTTCTGCCTTCAACGAAGGTCCACTTTTGCTGCCTCTTCCATGTGTTGTGCCCAATTCTTTGTTCAGGACACCAAGAGCCTGGAAGGAAGCCCTGTGAGATGCTTCATCTGGTAACACTACTGCACACTGTGTCCAGCTCAGCATTCTAGGGTGCCACTGTGGTTGTCTGAAGTCAGCCACTGTGGAAGTGTTTACGCTACAGACATCAGCCAATGTACCAACCAGGGATTTACTGATTATTTGTTGATTATCTACAGCAAAGAAAATGATGGAGAGAATATTGTAACTAGCACAAAAACCGTGAAAGTATTCATCCAGTACTCAAAAGCTATTACTTGATTCAGCCCAGGAGTTGTACATGTCACTGATGAGCTACTGGGACGTGACCTTTTGTTCTTTCACTTTTGTCTTGTCAACATGATTGAAATATTAATCAACATTCATGTTAAAATTATATGTCAATTGGAAATTGTCAATTATAAACTGTAGTTGGCTAAGAATATAAGAATTTAGCATTAAATCCAAAGTATTTCAAAACAATATTTTTGAAAATCATTAAGTTCACAATAAGTATTAAGCATTTTAATGTTATTTATAAATTTTGTACCATACATCCTGTCTTTCAGTAACTAGAATTTGTAGTACAGAACACTGTAAATAGTTTTATTATTTGTAAATTGTGTGCTATACAAATATATATCAATGACACTGATAATAAAATTGTGTATTTACATATATGCACATTTTATTTTTCTAGAGAGAGCAAAAAAGATAAAAGACTGAAAATCAATTTTTAAAAACAGAAACAAAGCCAGCAAAGAGAATGTACAATAATATCTCCAGAATGCTAACAGGAAATAAAGAATTCAACCAAGAATTTTATAAATGAAAACAATGTTTGATGAATAGGAGCAAAATAAAGCCATTTTTCAGATAAGTAAAAACTCAGTTTAATGGAAACCATGATATTATGATATAATAAGAATTGCATACTTGGTTTTCATTTCTAGATCCTGGCATAGAGCCCTTAAATCCATTGGAATTTCATGAATGATAGAAGGATCTTTTGTACTAATGAAGCAACTCTTGGCAAACTCTTAGATTTCTTCAAGATGGGGTGGGGGCTGGTCACCACAAAGATAAAATCCTGCCAGTGAGAAACCTGGCACTTTCAGACACCAGGGGAGCTGGAGACTGAGTTAATAATTGATCAAACCTACATGATGAAGCCTCCTTAAAAGCCCCTAAATCACTGGATTTGCAGAGCTTCTGGGCTGGAGAATGCCAGACTCCACAGGGTGACAGAAAGGTGACACAAAACTCCATGGGAACAGAAGTCTAAAAACAAATAAAACCTCAATCATAAACAAACAAAATGCCCTCCCACCCCTTCACATATTTGTGCTGTGTGCTTGTATGAGCACAGAACATGCCAGAACTTTAATATTTCTTATCTCTGGAATTTAGGATATAGCCCAGCATCATTTTGAATTACTACAAAATCATATATCACTTTTGTAATTAAAAATATACAAACAAAAACAAGTCCCTGTAAAAAGAAAGTAATAAGTGTGCCAACTGTGAACAAGGCATTGCCCTGATTTGTGGTTATATAAACATAAACAAACAGAAAGAGGTTTTTTTGTTTTGTTTTGTTTTTTGGTACCGGGGATCAAACTCGGGTCCTTGCGCTTGCACAGCAGGCGGCGACACCACTGAGCTAAATCCCCGGCCCCTATAAAAATAAATAAAACACAGATACTCTTAAAAGTTTATCTGATAAAAGACACAGTTTGGTGGAGACAATCCTTTCTTTTTAATTATTGGTGAAGGTTTAGCACACAAGGTCATTCCCTAGTACTTCACACAACTCTCCACCACCAAGTACTTTTGGATTTGTGATTAATCAGCATTATTTATTTTTCTTTGGATTACCTTCAGAGAGCCTTCTAAAATAAAAGAAATCTTTTCTTTCTCTTTCTCCTGTTCTTGATCTGTTACTTCTGTTTTGTTGATTACTTTGTTACCTACAATCAGAGAACATTAAACTTCTTAGCATTCCCCTGAAAGTATAGAAGAACTAAATCTCTGAGTTGGAGATCTCGAAGGCTGTCAAATTCAGCACCTCATTCATTTCTAAACGCTTTCTTGCTATCTCCAGAACGGACCTCTGAAGTGCAGCCACTTGGGGTGAAGTTGTTATAGTCCCTGGAGACAGTGCATTCCATTCTTGATACGTTGAAGCTTTTATTGAATTTAATCTCTTGCCCTAAAACTTCCACCTAATTAATTTTAGTTTAATACCTCCAGACCACACAGTGCATATCTAACTTTTCCATCATATTAAATCATATTCCTTCTCTTTCCATTGTAGGCATTCTGCTTGGAAGGTTTGTATCTTTTCCGACTGAGCGGACTCTAAATGCATGCAACACCCATGAGGTGCATTTCAATACCAAATCGACCATTTTCTTGATTTCTAGAGCTATCTATGCATTAAACTTTTGGTTTGTTCAGTGGCACTATAAAGAAAAGGAAGCCAACTTATCAATTTACTTGCATATGGGGTAAGTATGGCTGCAGACTTAAGTGAGAGAGGGCAGCCTTAACTTTATTTCTTAAACAATCCCATCCATTTCTCTTGGAACTTAGTGCTATACATGATCCCCACTAGGAATAAGCTGAGCTATGGATTATACAACCATTTGGTGGATTTGGTAAATGATTCATCATCAATTTTGTTTAAGTTTTACTTGAAAATTAGGCCATGTACAAACTTCTCTGGTAATTAAGAAAGGTGGCAAGAATTATGGAAATTACATAGCTTTTTTTTTTTTTTTTTTTTTTCGGTACTGGGGAGCAAACACAGGACCTTGTGCTTGCAAGGCAGGCAGCAGCACCACTGAGCTAAATCCCCAGCCCCTCCACTTCTTTTATTAATCAAGAATCCTTCTAAAAATCTACTTTATTTTCTTTGTCACTCTCTTCTCTTTTCCTCCATATTGGCCCAAAGTTGTGGAAATTAACAACAACAATGACAACAACAACAACAACAACAAAAGGTATGTATTGATCCAAGACCCTGTCTAGTTCTTGCCATAGGCCTCCAAGAATTTTCTTTATCTCTGTACTCCTACTGTGAGGTAGCCTCAGGATCCCTATGGGTGTTGTTCTAAGGAAGGTCTTGCTTGAATCTCATCAATAGAATGTATAGTTATTCAATGGAGACTCAATAACTATGAATTAACTTCATATATTATGAACACATCTTAGCTTAACTCACCAATCCTACCAATAAAGACACTTATAATTTCCTTAATACATAGCATTTGATCTACAGATCAAATCTTCCAGATTTGACAGGTAGTAAGGTCAATATAATACACAATTCCATTATCCCATACAGGAATAATTTCATGATATTTGGAATGCAGATATCTATTTATTACAGAAAAAGAAGAGTCACAGGAATTTTGTGGGCAACTGTTTTTAATCTTGAAAAATCCAGTCTTGATTAATGTAAGAAATAAAGTATCTTTGGACTTTATTCTAGGTATTAACTGAACTGGATACTTTCAGATTTTTTGAGAGAAGTATCTTTGAGGGGCTAATAATTTTTGGCACTAGCTGAGGGTTTCAATTCTGTCTCACCCTTGGTCCTAGTGAGTTCCTCAGCCATTTTAGATTCCTGATACACAGCTTCCTCTTTTGTGATCCAATCTTGAATGGAGTCAGCAACAAGTTCCAAATAATTCCTGAATAAGACAAAGAAGAACAGATGGCAAGTGAGTCAATATTAAAGTCAATAAATAGATACTGTGTAAATGAAATGTTCAAAAAATGAACTGATTTTAAACTGCACAAGTAATAAATTTAATAGACTTGGATATACCCTAGGTGTAAAAATGGCCAAGTTCATTCAAATCAGAGATGGGCAAATTTGAAAAGGAGGTCTTTTCACTAAAGTGAAGGATTAAGGGGTTTGATAGAAAGAGCCAATGAGAGTTTGAGAAAAAGTCACCCTCAGCACTGTTACTTGAAGAGTAGGTAGGGCCGAGCTCTTTTTAGGGCCATTCATAGCACATTATACACGTTTTTAACTGGCCATGAGCTGATGAGCTCACTAGATTAACTAAAATACTCTGTAGGTGTGCTATAAAGCTTGCTGGCCTTGGGAGTACCCATATTTTACACACTTTTTTTTTGTACTGGGGATCAAACTCAGGTCCTTGCACTTGCAGGGCAGGCAGCAGAACCACTGAGCTAAATCCCCGGCCCTACATACTATTTTGTAAACTGCTCATACCTTCATGCTCCCACCATCAAGTTACTGCTTATCAAGAATCAGTTACCTTTGCTCCCAAATCCCTTCATCCTATCTGTGTGGGTTAGTTTAATTATTTTCAGATTAAATGTTGTATACAATATGAATTTCCAAGGAGAGTTGTTTCTGAGGAAATAAGTTACATGATTTAGGTAACTAAATCAAATTATGGAAAAGTATAGTCTAAAGAATTGAAAAAATAAAACTAGATGGATTATATACTGACTTTACTTCATAATTTTCTTTAATTCTTGATCCCTTTTAAGGAATTAAACTGAAATTGTAGAGTCTGAATTATGGGTATTTAACATCTTCACTTAGAAGGTAATAGATATCTCAGACTCAGAGTGTCCTAAAATTAACTTTTGATCTTCTAGTTCACACTGGTACTTTAAAGCTCTTTGGCATTTTAGCTGACTGTGATACTTCTCTTTGAACAGGATAAATACCCTGAAGGTACCCTTGATTACTCCTATTGTCTCATAAGCATTTTCCAATCTGTTAGGAAAATTAAAGGATTTAAAAATCATTTTAAAATATTCTTTTAAAATATATATTTATATTATATTAAAACACCCGATCAAGTCCCACCTTTTTTTTTTGGTACCAGGGATCGAACTTGGGACCTTACACTTGTGAGGCAGGTGCTAGAACCACTGAGCTAAATCCCTGGCCTCTCAAGTCCTGCCTTTTTACCGCCATTGACCTGATCTACTCCACTATCATTTCTTGTTGGCATTGCTGCATTAGTCCCCAAATAGTGTTCCTGCTCCTATGTTGGGCCCCGGAAGTTTATTCTCAAATTAGTAAATAAATTGTCCCTTTCAATTCTCAAGTGGTATCACGTCTTTCTTTTCAAACCTTTCCATAAATATGTAAAATGAAAACTAAAATTCTTATAAGTGACCTACAAAGAGGGACACAGACTCAGAGACACATCCAAATTAATATTTAAAGAAGAGGACAGAATAGAGAACAAGCATACAATGCTTCAGGAAATTTTTTACGCCCAGAGATGTTCTGAATCAATTACTCACAAATGTATTCCAGTTGCATTAGGAAAAATAAGGGGAAAAAGACAACATTGGATGTAAGTAAAGGGGTCAAGAAAGAAAGTAGTAAAATATACAATTAAGTGTAAATAACATGCTACTTATTTATGATAAAAGTCATTGCTTTATAATTTGATACAAAATTTCAAGATAATTACAAAATGATGTTACAACTTTTTTGTGTTGGAGGGTGAAAGTACTGTACATTAAAACTTCTAACATTTTTGTGAAATGATATTAATGCTCATTAATTCCAGATATGATATAAAATATTTAAATATATGATTTAAAAGGATACATGTAATTACCAGAAGAATATAGAGAGAATGCATGACTTTTTATAAAACACACATTAAGAATGAACTAAGACTGGGTGTGGTGGCTCATGCCTGTAATCCTAGAACTCAGGAGGCTGAGACAGGAAGATCTCTTCAAATTAGAGGCCAGCCTGGGCTACCTAGTGAGTTCAAGGCCAACCTTAACTACATAGAGAGACCCTGTCTCAAAAAAGCCAAAAGAGAAAAAAAAAGAATGAACTAAGAAAATGCAACTGAAGAAGAAAGGATTAATATTTTTCACTAATGGAGATTAATACCAGAACAAATATACTTATAAAATGAAATGGTCAGAATGAAACCAAACCTATGACCAATAAAAACAAGTGAGTATATTCATTTCGTGAGGTATTTATAATTTTTACACTTTTTAAAATTAGTGCATGTTTGTAATTCAGTATAGTGATGTTTGTTTTGGGGAAATGATAAAAGCACTAACATATCTGGATCATTTCCAATCTCTGTATCCTCCTCTTCCTATCCCACCAATCCCTTCCCCACCCCTAAGTCTACCTTTTAGTTTCCCAACATCTCTATTTTATTCACTCATTCATTTATATCTAAGAAAACATGAGATATTTAACTTTCTGAGTGGTTTATTTTCCTTACTGTGATTTTCTCCAGTTCCATCTATTTTCCTGCAAATGACATGACTTCATTCTTCTTTATGGCTGAATACTATTTGTATATTAGCTAATGTGCATTGTGCTGCTATAAACATGGGCATGCATGTTTCACTATAGCATAATGCAGGAAGCATTATTACCTAGGAGAGGTGTAGATGGGTCAAGAGGAATTTCTAGTTTTAGTTTTTTGAGGAGTCTTCATACTGAGCCTCATAACAGTTGTATTAGTTTATATTCCCACCAACAGTGTAGTGTAAAAGGGCTCCTTTCCTCCCACAGTCATGCCAGTATGTGTTGTCAAGTCTGTGATGATAGCCATTCTGACTGGCATATAATAGAATTTCAGTGTTGTTTTGGTTTGCATCTTTCTAATGGCCAATAATGCTGAGCAGTTTTTTATGTACTTTTTGGCCATTTGTACATCTTTTGAGAAGTATCTGTTTCAACTGTTCATTTTTTAAATTGGGCCACTTACTTTTTTGGGATTTATTCTTATGCATTCTTTATGTATTCTAGATATTAGTCCTCTGCCACAGGAGTAGCTAATGAAACACTTGGCCCACTCTATAGATTATCTTAGCACTATGTTGACTGTTTCCTTTGCTGTGGAGAAGCTTTTTAATTTGTTGTGATCCATTTGTTGATTCTTGATATTATTTCCTGTGGTATTAGAGTACTATTCAAGAAGTCTTTGCTTGTGTTAATGGCTTTAAGTGTTTTCCCTATGTTAACTTCTGGCAGTTTTAAAGTTTCTGTTTTTATATCTAGGTCTTTGATCCACTTTGATTTGATTTTAGTATAGAGTGAGAGATAAGGATCTAGTTTCAGTCTCCTGCAGGTGGACATCCAGTTTCCTCAACAACATTTGTTAAAGAGATCACCTTTTTTCCAGTGAATTTTTGGTCCCTTTGTCAAAATCAGATGGATCTAGGTATGTGGTATGATTTCCGTGTCTTTCATTGCGTTTCATTGGTCTACACGAAAGTTTTTGCACCAGTACCATGTTTTATTTGTTACTATAGTTTTGTAGCATAACTTAAAATCTGATATTGTGATGCCTCTATCTTTGCTCTTTTTGCTCAGGATTGCTTTGACTACTCTGGGTCCTTTCTGATATCACATGAATTTTAGAATTGTGAGAAATGTTTTTATTATTTTAATAGGGATTCATTTAAATTAATAGATCAGTTTTGATTATATTGCAATTTTCACAATATTAGTTCTTCTAATACAAGAATAAGGAATGTCTTTCCATTTTCTAATGTTCTCTTCAATTTCTTTAGAGTTGTGTAATTTTCATTATAGTGGTTTTTCACTTTCTTGGCTAAGTTGATTCCTAAGGATTTAATTTTTTTGAAGCTACTGTGAATGGACTATTTCCCTGATTTTTTCTTAATGAGTTCATTACTGATGTACAAGAACACTGTTCTTCAACCCAATATCAACCAATGAAATTGAAAATGTAATTAAAAACTTATCAACTAAGAAAAGCCCGGGCCCTGATGGCTTCACTGCTGAATTCT